AGACACGCAAAGACACGCAAAGACACGCAAAGACACGCAAAGACACGCAAAGACACGCAAAGACACGCAAAGACACGCAAAGACACGCAAAGACACGCAAAGGCACAAAGGCACAAAGACACACACACACACACACATCAATCAATCAAAGCATGAATCAACGGTGGGTTCCGCTTCTTCCAGGGGTTTGTCACGATGCATGGCGCATATCTCCTGTGCCCTTTTCGCCAGGAGAGTCTCGCCCAGAGCCGAGATCTGGAGGCAGCCGACATCCCTGGCGTGGAGCAGCAGGACGGCGAAAATCGTGGCCAAAGAAAGGGGTTGATTACATGTCCATTGTCTCAACAAGTTTGTTTCTCTGTATTGTTTCAAACATGGGCTCATTTGAAGATCGTATGTTCTGCGCACCCCAGATGTGCGTGCAATTCACTCTTTTGGGCAATGAGTGCTTGCCCCATTTGTGTGTGATCCGGGAACCTGCTTAGGTGAATAATTTGTCATTGGGAAGACTTTCAAGCGGGATCACAGAAGTGTGCAATTCCCACAAACCTGCATAGTTGTGTTTTTGGCTTGTGCGTGCGGGTAACTGCCAGAGATACCATTTTCAACGGAGCTGCCAGTTTCCGTGCGCTGCGTCCAGCAGTTTGCATCCTCCCCTGCAAATTAACATGGCACCCTCAAAACGTGGGACCAAAAGGAGTTTCCTTTGCCACACATGGTGTGTTGGGTCCCATGTCAACCTGGACCAAGAGTTACCCTAGAAGCAGAACCATTTGGGTGTTTCTCAAAGCTATGAACCCCTGTACAAGGGACACCAAAAGGAAGCCAGCAGTTTTGACTGGATCCTTTTTTGGGAGAATTCCCATTTAGGGGTGATCACCTATTCACTCCTGAAGAAGGCCTAGGCATGCCTCTCCAGCCCCATTGCCCTCCCTGAACAGCGCTCAAAACCTGTTCGCCATGTTGGTAGGTGGTTCTACCACTCTCTCTTTCGCAAGGATTATAGTAAGGCTTACATAATCTTGATAACACAAAACGGCTTGGTAGGGGTAGCAGGGCTTTAAGATTTAAGAGTCAGCGCGGCTTTTGCTCGCTCCCGAAGAGGACCAGCTGCGCCTGGGCCGTGCTGCCATCTACTCAAACTTTTTGCCGGAGATCGATTGCGCCCGCATCATGGATGAGGAAGTGGAGGCTCGAGCTGCTTGAGTTCCTATTCGAACCTTCGTCTTGGCTTTGCGGCGTTATCCTATGTTTGGCCTTTTGACTAGCTTCCTTAGAGCCACCAGAGTTACCTTGAAGGTTGCTTGTTGACGGTGTTCTTTCGGCGTCAGGGAAACCCTGGCCACGTCAAAGGTTGGTTTTGTCGAGCATGTCTTAATCCTTGATGGGTTTGATTGAGAGGCCAGGGTCAGCAGTCTTGGGTGTGGGTGAAAGTATGTGTGGTAAGTCTTTGTTTGCCTGCCTGTCTGTCTGTTTGTCTGCTCGTTTGTTTGTTGGCTTGCTTGCTCTCTTGTTTGCTTGCTTGCTTGCTTGCTTGCTTGCTTGCTTGTTTGTTTGTTTGTTTGTTTGTTTGTTTGTTTGTTTGTTTGTTTGTTTGTTTGTTTGTTTGTTTGTTTGCTTTTGTTGTTTGTGAAGTGTTTTGTTTCTCTGACCTTCTCGAGCCCACGGAAGATGGAGGGTGCAGTTGAACCTGCTTAGCTTGCCCTCCCTGAGTTTCCGGAGCCTCAGGATCCCGAAAGAATACACCCTGGCCCACAAGTTTTTGAGGGCTTCCTAGTTCATCCGCCGCCCCTGAACACTTGTTTGGGGCCTCCGAAACTGTGGTCTGTTTCAGGGCTGCCTAAACACGAAACACGATCTGAACATGTGATTTCCGGTGAACTCCAGATGTGCGAGGCACGTTGTGGCTCCATGACCGTCCCCAAAACCAAGCTCGCGTCACTGGTCCACATGGAACCCATCAGTGGGTCTCTTTAAAAGGAGGTAGTCTTCCAGGACCTTTTGGTGCGGTTCCCTGCTTCTGGCGGTTTGTGTTTGCTTGAGGAGCTTCGGCGGCAGATCCTGCCGGGCCACTACCGCCCGGACCCCAAAGAGTGGCAACGGCCAACGCCCCACACCGCGACCATCGGGTTGATCGGGTTGAAGGTTAGTAAGGCCTTGGTGGCTCCCAGCCATGCCCTTTGCTTCTTAGGTTTTGGGATTGGTTTTTGGTTCTTTTGGGGGGAGGGGTTTTGAAGTAGTAGGTTTTGGGGGTTTCGTGGTAGTTTTCACTTCCCCCACCAAAAGTTAAACTTCTAGCAGGGAATCTGAGGGCAGCCCAGAGGCATAGTTGCAACCACAAATGGGTGCAAGTCGCCGTGTTGACTCTGTACGTGGTTCTGTGTAGAGCAAGTTTTTAAGATCAGGTGTTGATTATGACTCAAGTGGTGATGGTCATTCCAGCAATCCATTCCTGGTTGGGTGGGAGGGTGGAATTGGGTTGCGTATTAAATAGCGTTGGCTTTGTTTTGGGATTGGTTTTTGGTTCTTTTGGGGGGAGGGGTTTTGAATGCATACCCACATTTGCCATTTGTTGTTGTTGTTGGGCTAGCAACTGAAGACACGTTTGCAACACGAGGCTAGAAACTAGGTGTTTCTTAGTTTTCAGGGATTGCCGGGAACTAGGGGGTGAACATAAGCAGGAAGTTGTGCAACGAGTCAATCCAACTAGTGTGATCAAGGCAAAGAGGGGTTTACGTGCAGTTGGATGTGTGGGTGCATCGCGTTTTCTCATGCGATGATATTGTTTTGTTCAAGCAAAACTCGAAGAACAAGGTGGTTTTGGAATGAATGTGAGTTGTTTGTCACGTGTTTTTTGTATTTGCTCAACTCAGTTCAGGATAATTCTAAAGATTGTCTCCTTATTTTTGTGTATCTGGTCAGTTCCGGTTGGACCAGGAGCCAAAGGGCAATTTCAATAAGGGGGTCTTTTTCCCGGAAGCAGAGAATGGGAGCTTGGTGCTTACCGTGGGTCTGCGTGTTTGTGTGGTGCGGGTGGGTGATGTTGGTACTCTTTTCCGGTGGGTGTAACAAGCCTTCAAACAACGAAAATACACTGTTTTTGCTATTTTGTTGTTTTTTTGGGGGTCCCCTATATTGACACATGCCCACATTTGTTTCCGGCTTGCAGCTGTTAATTCCAGCCGGCGTTACTGAACCTCTACCCCGGCATTGCCTCCGCTCAGACCCTACCAGGTTAACCATGCCGGCCCTGTTTCTTGTCAAACCAATGAGCAGCGTCCAAACCCATTGCCCATTTTAAAGAAGCGGTTTTGCTGCCTTGTTTCATATGGGATACAGTAACCCGCAACTATCAACCTTTACACATATCCGAGTAGAACCTAAAGTCAGTCGGTTTTGGGCGCTGCTCAAGTGAGGGTGCTTTCCATGCAACACGGCGCTTCAGTCATGCAGACTCAGGGAGAGGAGGATTGTCACAGGTTTGACCTCTACCCTCTTGGTTTATCATTTGGGGCTGTTTTTTTTCATGGAACCCTCTTTTGGTGAGTTTTGAAGGAACAGCCAAAAAGAATCCCATCATTTTGGGGGGCCCTAAAAATATGTACCCAAAATGGGTTGCCCTGGTAAATGGAAACAAGGACTCAAACCTGCGGTCCATTTCCTGGTGGTTTAATTTTGACCCATACCCATATGGCAGTGGCTCCAAAAACCGGTACCCAACTGGAGCTTGGTAAGTGGAAACATGGACCAAAACCTGCGGTTTGCCCCTGCCGTTTTTATTTTTAACCCATTCCCCTCCACATCCTTTCGGCCCATACGGCCCAGACGGCTCAGACGGCCCGGCACGGAGGCTACATCCTCCCCTCCTCCCTGGCCATCGGCGCCTTCTGCGGGGCCTTGGCGGCCTTCTCCTACGTGGAGACCGCGGTCATTGTGCACACCCTGGACGAACGGATCCTGTGCCACCAGGCCGGGCGATGGAAAAAACCAGAGAAGGGACGCCGCAGAAGGCCAAAAATGAGGCCCTTCCTCCTGCTCTGGGGCCTGGAAAAATGGGGCGGAAAACATGGGACACAGGTGAGATTTGGTTTAGATCGGCCTCGAACTGGGCAAAAAAGTGTGGCGCGGGCAAAACATGAGGCCCTTCCTGTTCTGGGGCCTCCAAAGGGGCAAATTGGGCGCGGGCGGAAAATCATGGGATGCCACGGGTTAGACTCAAAATGGGCCAACCTATTGGCGTGGGCGAAAAACAATGGGATGCCGCAGGTCAGATTGGGTTTAGAGTCGCCGCTGGCGATGCCCCTGCTATTTGGAGAGTACTTAAAGTCCATGGTTTCGGACATGGGAAAGTTGGAGGGTGCCAGTTGATGCGTGTTGTTTGTCGATGGTGGGTTGAAGCTACATGGCTTCTAAAAAATACCCATCGAATATTCCACACCCAAAGTTCTGGGGCAGACGGAGGCCCAGAGCCGAATCTCCTAGGTCCCCCAGCAATTGGTGCCCCTTTCTCACCCCTTTTTTGGTTGGGAGGGTTAGGGTACCAACTTATTCTAACCTCTCTACTGGAGGACCTAGTTTTTGTATTTTGCCCAGCCGGTCTTTTTAACTTTCGGCCAAAGTGTCCCTTTGCTCAGGAGTTGTTAGTTGGTGGTTTGGCACAGCTCCTTTTGAAGCCAAGTGGGGAAGATACCAACCAAACCACCAAACCAAACCACCAACTAGGGGGAAGCAGATTCGCTTGCCCACCTTCAAGCGGATGGTGCTACCTACTTCAAGGGGATGGCGTGCCCAGAGAAGCTTGACGCTGGGAACGTGTTTTTTTTCACTAACTGACACGCAAACCGTGTACGCCTCAGACTGGTTTCCTGGCAGCCGGGGCGAGTGTAACTTTCTGCAGATCAAAGACGAACCCAGAAATGGGCCATCAAAGCGAGCCACCTTCCAACTTGCGTTGGCTGTGGGTCAAAACCAATGGTACCATTTGGGTGTAGGTGCACCATTTTAAAACCTATTTTAGTGACTATTTTAGTGGTTGGATTGGGATGTTCACTGGGGGCTAACCGATTTGGTTTTTGACCCATGACCTGTTGTTGTTTTTTTTTGAGCAAGTTGGGGCCACGATTTGACGGTACGCTTCATTTTGGGGACAACCAGCCGCGTTCCCTCGGTGAAATAGTTATACTTTGTGACTTTGTTGAGTTGCTTCAGTGGCTGCGGCCCCGCGTTTTTCTCTTTTGTTTTTCTCTTTGTTTTTTCCGGAACCGGCTGCATGCTTGTGGTTCTTACCTTGTTGATGAGCAGTGCATGTTGAATTTGTTATGGGTGTTTCACAGGGTACCCTCGAAAAAGAGCTTCCAATACGATGTGGGTTTCGAGCGAACCTTAGCACTAGCTTTGACAGGGATGGGATTCAACAAGGACAACATGAGTCACCAGGAAGGTTACAAGCACCAACGAAGCCACCAAACTTGTTCCTAGAAAGTTCGTCATTTGCCCTAGGACGACCGTTGGAGGTGTGATTGCTTCAAGCAAGCCTTATATCAAGCTAATCTCAGGGTCATAGTAGGTAGTAGGGCCTGACTTTCCGGTTCAAGTCTGGCCCCTTCGCAAATAGGGATTTCCCATTTGAGACATACAACACGCAGACTCGCGCAGCATTTGACACTGTCGGGTCTTTGGCAATCCTAGAAGCTCCAGAGGGCTACCCGCAGAAATCTCAACTGGGTGCTCGACAATTTGGGTGCTCGACAATGAATGATTGTCAACTTTGCCAAAAGGAAACTAGCACGGGACAGACATGTTTTCAGTTTTTCCAGACCGCCTATTTGGGTGTATCTTGTTTTGAGGGTAGTTTATGTGGGCTTAGCTAAAAGGAAGACCAAAAGAACACCATTTTGGGGTCCAAATCACTATTGTGACACATACTGATTCGGGTGTGTCTTTTTGTGAGGCTACCCCTGTTGATGTGTTTTTTTCTCGCACCCAAGAGAAGCAACTTGAACTCCTTGTGGGTAACACCCCTGTTTATGTGTTTCAAGAAACCAAAAAAAACAACTTGAACTCCTTTTTAGGTATCACCCCTGTTTATGTGTTTCAAGAAGCCCAAACAAAACAACTTGAACTCGTTTTTGTGGGTAACACCCCTGTTGATGTGTTTCAAGAAACCAAAAAAGAAACAAAAACAACTTGAACTCCTTGTGGGTAAGACTCGACTCGAGCCCGGAGGACTACAAGCACCTCATGGTGATGCGATACCTCTGCAAGGCCATGACGGAGTCCTACGTGGATCGCTTCGCCGAGTGGGTGGCCACCTCCCCGGCCTGCTACAAGGGCATCTTCCTGCGCCTCGCTGAGAACCCGTGGAAAGGTTCGTTGGTTCACCAGGGCTCCTTACATTTAATGCCCAATTGAAACATGGCTTTTTCCACCAAACAAAGGGAAACCGCCATTTACAAGGCAATGTTCAGGTGTATATTGTAAGGATCCCTGTCCACGTGTCCTAGGCGTATGGGTCTAGACCCAAAAGTCTGTTCAACACCTGTTCGTTGGGCTGACCAAATGTGAGACGCGACCTGAACGTGCGATTCTGTGACCGCGCCCTGCTTTGCATGGCGCGAGTAACTGGAACCCAAGATTCATAAGCCCCTTGATGCGTAGGGGCATGTTGGTAGAGCCAAACGTCAACGGATTGGGGCGCGGCCCACTGAGTCCCTCGGTGGGGTGATGTTAGAGGCCGTGTAAGAGCAACTGTCAAAGTGAATTGGCATATGCCATGTTGCCGTACTAAAGTGTTACTGTCATTATTATTATGATTATTATGTTTGTTGTTATCGTTGGTGCTATTATTATTGTTGTTGTTGTTATTATTATTATTATTTTATTATTATTATTATTATTATTATTATTAATATTATTATTATTATTATTGTTATTGTTATTGTTAGTATTGTTATTATTATTGTTATTATTATTGTTATTATTATCAATCTATATTTATTATTATCATTTTTATTATTATTATTTTATTATTATTATTATTATTATTGTTATTATTATTATTGTTATTGTTATTGTTATTATTATTATTATTGTTATGATTATTGTTATTATTATCATTCTATCTATATGTATATTATTATTATTGTTATTATTATTAGTATTAGTATTAGTATTATTATTATTATTAGTATTATTATTAGTACTATTATTATAATTATTATTATTATTGTTATTGTTATGTGGAAGAGAGTCATCCGAATAGAGGAACATAGCAGTTACTCACCAAGATCGAATGTCACTTCGGGCACACTAATGATTGACCGGGGCTAATAGGCCCCAAATAATTGGGCTGTTGTGGGGGACTTAAAATCCCACTTAGGGCATGATCGTTCGGTTGCGCCAACTCACAAGATCCCCATCCTTCTTCACCTTTCAAACCTGGAACATGCCCCACGCATGCCGGTGATTTTTCAAGCATCTTGACTCTTGGCTCTGGTTATCAAGCCTATGTCCCCCATTTTTTGGGGAGGGTTACTAGAATAGACTACAGAAAAAAGTTGGTATCCTTATTCTAACCTCACTACTGGAGGACCTAGAAGCTTTTCATAGCCGCCAGGCAACCAAGCCCTTCACAAACCTCCGGCGCAGCCCCACGCCTACCCCCGGAGACGCGAAAAGCGCGAAACGCGAAACGCAGGGCTTGCGCCCTGGCGGACGGGAAGGGGGCCTTCTCGCAGATGCGGCGCCGGTTTCTGCGGCTCAAGGAGCTCTCCGGGGGTTGTGTTGGAGGTAAGGATCGAAGCCGAAGCGAAGACCTGGGTCCGTAAGCTGGGTTCTTCATAGGGGCTCCGATATATGGGCCCGTGATAACCCATTTTTGGTGGAACTGGTAGCCTCACTTCATGGCTTGGATGGTTTGTTTTAGGAGCCAAAGATCCGGGAGGCTTACTTGGCTTGGATTGGTTTGGATTTGGATTCAAATTTCAACCCCTAGGAGTTTGAGTTTTGGGCAGCTTCCCCGGAAACAAAATCACACAAGAAGGGTAGCTGAAGGTCAGCCTTGGTGGTTTTGATCGGTTTGGAGTTGGATTTGAAGCCGTGGCTCTTGAGGATGAACGGGAAAACTCTAGGGCTACCTTCCCCAATCTTTCCAGGGATCCTTCTTTTCAGGAAACCATCAAAAACCCAGGGAAACAGCAGGTTTGTTTAAAGAACGATGGTTGAAAAGAATGGTTGAACTCAACCCCTGGACGCTTCGCTTCGCTTCAGGAGCTGAGCCTGGAGCCGCTGGGGCCCCCGCTGTCGCCCCATAAGGCGCAGACGAGTGGGCAAAAGGCACCGAATTTCTGATCGAATCACCCCAAGGTACCCTCCCTCCAACGAACATGGCAACTGACAGGAGCTCCCTGCAAAAGGAAATGAATCTTCCAGGTATAATCACAACCTCTGTCAGATGCAGCGCATTTCAAAGCAAGCCCTGCTCCATTGTTTTGTTTTCCCAAGTAGGCGTGCCACAAGTCAGTTTGGCGGGCTTCTTTCAAAAAGGCGGTTGTAACCCAGCGAATCATAGAGGTAATTGATTTGATGTTGCCCTTTGGCACGTCACCTTTTCTGACTCCCCCCAAGGGAATGGATCTGATTTTGCGGGACGTTTGGTTGGGTCCAAAAAATGGGGGGGAGGTCTAGTTGGGTAGTTCAAAATGGGCACGTTTTCTTGGAGGGTACCATTTGCAAGTGCAACGCTCAGGAGATCTGCTTTCCTACCTGGTTTTGTAAGGCTGAAAGTGACGCCCCGTTTATCCATGTTAGGGATCCGTAAACCCCGACCACAAGCCCCAAACAACACCTCATATAAAGCCTTTGTACACCCCATACCCTACACCCCATAGAAACCCTACACCCCATAGAAACCCTACACCCCATAGAAACCCTATAACACCCCATAGAAGCCCTACATCCCATAGAAACCCTACATCCCATAGAAACCCTACACCCTTTGAAACCCTACATCCCATAGAAACGCTACATCCCATAGAAACCCTGCACCCCATAGAAACCCTACATCCCATAGGAACCCTACACCCCATAGAAACCCTACATCCCATAGAAGCCCTATAACATAACTCCCAAACCCAAAGACGGGTGAAACGCTTTGGGGAGGTGATCTGCGCTTCGGGCTTCCTGCGAACCTTGGCGGATCTCTGCCAGCCCTGGGCTGTCGATGCAGACCGGCCCTGGACCTCAGGGCAGGCGGTGGGGGGCGTTCGGTGGCCGGTGAATGGGGGCGAAAGTCGGGTAACCCCAAAATGCTCGACTGCTATTTGGGGGGGTTGGATCTTTAGACTTCAACCTTTTTGGTTGAATTAAGGGCGTTTTCCACTAAACCCCCCAAAAAGTTGAACTTTTTGCAGGGGGGTCAACAGCAACCAAGAATGGGTTGCCCTGGTACATGGAAAACACAGACCAACACCTGGTGGCTTGATTTTGACCCGCACCCAGGTCGAGTAAACTTTGTCTCGCAAGCAGAATTGAGTTGCTCGTGGGGGTTCAACTTTTTCGTAGGGGTAGATTCACGTTTATGGAGGGTAGACTCAAGCAAGCAATAAAACCAGCGGGTGTTTACTAGGCCCCGTAATTGTTTTTTTTTGTTTTTTGTTTACATTATTTTTAAAGAAGCACAACTCCAATCCATTGCGTTTGCCAAGACTCTGAGGCTTTCACGTGCAAAACACACTGTAACGGCAAGATGAAATTTGCAGAGTCGCGCGCTCAGTCTTTTTTTCATGTCTGCGACGCCTTCACCTTCATATACGAGTCATAGGCGCTGAAGCAATGGGCAGGCGCTGAAGCCATGGGCATAGCTAAAGGAGAAGCAGGAGGATCAGCCGGGGAAGGAAGCGGAAGCAATCGGCGCCCGGACAGACGGCCAGCCACAACAAAAACGCAGGCAGCGAAAGCAGCCGCACGAGGGCAGCAAGATCTACCCAGATCTAGCAATGCACTGCGATCAGAAGTGATGCCAGAGCAGGGAAGGCAGGGGGCAAGGCCAGCGAAGTCAAGAGGAAAACGCTCTGGAATCAAGACAGTGGACACGACCGAAGCCAGGATAGGGTCGTATGACTGCGTCACCAAATCGAATAGGGAGTCCAAGTATAAAATGCAAATTTGAAAGAAAAAAGCAAGCACAGGATGAGCCGCGAACGAAGACGAAACGCCTGCCAAGCGACAGAGGAGCACAAGACCTAAGGCAAAACGGGCATCATCTGACATGAACATGAGAAGCGATTCTGCGGGCCCAAGACGCAGTGCTGTGTTCCGCGACCATCCCCCCCCACCCCCCTCCCTCCAACATCCTCCAAGCCATGATATGTTGAAACATGTGTCGGGGAACTTGAACATGATGTTGTCTTGCGGGGAAAACGTGATGTCATGATTCTGATGTCATCTTGTCGGGGAGGGACAAATGATTGATTCACTCAAACGCAGCTTGAAGGCAAAAAAGCGTGCTTTTCCTAGAGGGTCACTAATGGCGCCGTTGGGAAAAACAAGAAGGGGTCCCCCAATTGGTTGCTGTGTATCTTGTTGGCGTTCCCTTTAAACACAAACAAAAAGGGGTTCCCCAATTGGTACTGTTCCCCCTTAAACAAAAACAAAAGAGGTTCCCCAATTGGTTGCTTTGTACCCTGTTGGCGTTCCCTTTCAACAAAAACAAGAAAGGGGTTCCCCAGTTGGTTGCCGTGTATCTTGTTGGTGTTCCCTTCAAACAAAAACAACAAGGGGTTCCCCAATGGTTGGAATCCTTTTGGCGTTCCCTTGAAACCAAAACCACACGGTCTTTCAGCCCCAAAAAGGGTTCCCCAACCCAAACCAAAAAGCCCCAAAACGGAGGTTCCCCAGCCCGAAAAGCCACGTGGAGGTCTTCTTCCTGCGCTTCGATGCGGACTGCTTGTCTCAGCTGGGCCTGCAGCTGGACGACACGTTGGCGCGGGACCTGAAGCGCACGGAGGCGGGCGGCGGGTGGGAGGCTTGGTGGGAGGCTTGGTGGGGGAGGTAGGTCCCCTAGTAGTGCCCTCTACCTTTTTTTGGGGAGGGTTCCCCTACTAAAGTAGACTACAGCAAAAAGGGTACCCTTATTCTAGCTTCTCTACTCGAGGACCTAGTTGGGGGGGTGTGCCAGGCGGGTGGAGGCTTAGGGTCGGTGAACCACCCGAAATGGACAAGGCCGGAAACACAAAAAGCATCAAGGGGGTCAGGATTTGATTGGCGAAGAGTGGAGACTCCATGGCTTTCCCCTATAACTTTGGATTGAACCGAATTCAACTTCATTCTATTTATTTGGGAAATCCTTTTAGAACGGATTTCCTGAGGCCACCATTGCCCGCACCTGCCAGGACACAGGAACACAGGACATAAGACGCCTGCTTTTGGAGTTGGGCGGGGGGTGTCTTTTTGGATGTAGGATTGTGTGGAGTGGCTTTAAGGGGAAGCCAAAGTCAAAGCCCGCCACTTTGGAAACCCCGCACTTTCGAGGGAACTCTCAAGCCCAAGGAGAAAGATGAATAGCTGTTCGGAAAGACCGAAACCCGGAAACTCCTCCAAACCCCATTTGCATGTTATAGGGTGGACCAAATATGAAACAGACACATTCGTCTTTGGGCAGGCACTGCCCTGAACCTGGCTTCTCTTTAGTCGCACATACTTGGCGAGTCACCCCCTGTAAACCTATGACCTCTCTTGTACGAAACACACCATATGTATAAATATGTAGACACTTGTTTGGAGTACCTCAGATGTAGGCCTAGGAACTTGCGCCGGGCCCCCCATGCAAAATTGCAAACATGTGATCACATGTTTGCCTATGGTTTGTAATTCACCCAAAAGGAAACTAACAGGGGATGGGGAATTGCAAGCAATTGCCAGACTGCCTATACTGCCAGAAAGTGTTGGCAGGCAGCCGCTTAAACTGTGAAACCTGTCAGTTCTGGCAACTCATGAGAGCCCATGCGTTTTCCGCCATTCGGGGTGTCTTGTTCGAATGATCTGGAGTGGCCGCCAAGCAACGAGGGCACCACCAACAACCGACAACACACGTTACAAGACTGCGCCTGGAGTGTCTGTGTTTTGAGGGTCATGCTTTTTTGACGGCACTTGGCGTTTGGACATGGGAAAAAGCAGTCGTTGGGGGGTGCCGGTAAGACTGCTGATCTATTTATTAGTTCATCATTTTAGTCAAAGGCCCAGTCAAACTAGTTCATGGAACCCGGAAATGAATAACGCTAGAGGAATCTACTGTTGGGGTGCTACCCTGATGGGGTGTCCCTTGTATATGCTTTGCAGTTCCCTCCCATCCCAGCGACGCACACCAAGCACTGGATGCCTATTGGGTTCACCCATCTGATGTAAATCGATCCGTGATGGGAACCGCTCGATCCTTTAAGGCTGTAGGGGGAGCCGCCGCAGAAATTTGATGGAAGGTTGGCAGCCGACTTCTCCAAACAGAAATGCGGCTTGCCCCGTTTCGCGCGAAAACAGCTGCCGTGTGTTTGGAACCTGTTCTTTTTTGGCCGGCGCCTTTTTTGGGCAACCCAGAGACAACCGAGTAACATCTCGATTTCCGCACGACGGTTGCAGGCTGTGGCGCGGTTCCTGATGTCTCTCACGAACCCCATCTCTTTCCAGCAGCGGGTGCCGTGGACGGCAAAAAGGAAAAAAAAACAAAAAGCGCGCCGCGGCGGTTTCGAGGTACCATAGGTAGGCGGGAGGTTCGGAATCCCCGAGGCACCCACTTGTGGATTTTTGTGTGAGGTACCCAGAAATGGGCTGGGAAACCAAAAGGAAGCTGAACTTGGAAGGCTATCCCAAAGTGATGAGATGAGCCATAGGCATTGCGCCATTGGTGACTGACCATTGAAGGCCAACACATCTTTTCTCTTGGCTCATCGGCACTCTCCTGCCCGAAACCTGTTTTGGGACTACCGGAACCAGGTGCATAGGTGCCGCGCGCCCTTCAACGCGAAGTTGTGGGGCGATTCCTATAGTCTTGACACAGGTGGTCTTCCGATTCTAGGTTTCTGCGGTTTTTTTTTGGTGACCGTGCTTGACTCCGGCTGGCATCTCCTGGATTGCCACAATGCAGCTCAGCCCATGTCTGACGCCCCATTGGGATGAAGCAGCCACCCGGGGTGTGACCTGTGTCCTCCACTTGAGGGTTTGGTGGTTGTGGTCCAGTTGGGGTTGTGTCAAAATCAATGGATTTCCGCAAATCTGCGCCGGCCTTCCTCTAGGCTTCCTTGTAGATCGACGCCGAAAGGGGTCCCGCACTCTGAGCACACACAACATCATGTTGGACCCTTTCACCAAAACCCTACCCCCAACAGGTATCTATTGTCAACAAGCATAACACCAACGCGGAATAAAACAACAAAAATAGTACCCGCACAACTTGACTGCTATTGGGCTGGATCTTGAGACTTCAACTTTTCGGGAAATAAAGGTGTTTTCCACTAAACCCCCCAAGAAGTTCAACTTTGTGGGGAGTCAACAGCAACCAAGACAAATAATGGATGTTTGGTTGATCTCCCTCCAAACCAGCCAACTGGCACAGGGATCCTTGCATTCTACACCTGAACATTGCCTTGTAAATGGTGGTTTCCCTTTATTTTGGTGGAAAAAGCCATGTTTCAAATGGGCAAAATGTATCTTTTAAGGTGCCCAGCTGGCAACCCCAAACAAACGAACCCGGACTCGGACGTTTCTCTCTGAGGCCATCGGCATGCTGCTGGAGGAGCTCGGCGACCTCGTGGACCGCGCCTCCGAGCGCGCGGACCAGGCGGGAGGTTCCGATGGTTTCGCCAGGTTCCACCACAAAACGCTCAAATGAGCCACTGGCTCAAAACCCAGGTAGATGATCCGGTTAGTAAGGGGCAGTCCCAGCCAGAAGGCATGGTTCTGGGTAGACCATTTTTACACCGGGTTTTGATTGTGACTCAAATGGAGAAAGGGTTCTGGAGATACTCCCCGACAAATTAACGTGGAACCCGAAAAAGGGAGATTTCTCTAGAGACGTTTGTTGTTTTTTTGTTTTTGCAGCGGGTCAAAAATAGGGTAATCGCAAAATGGGTTGCCCTGACAAATTGAAACAGGGACTAAAACCTGCGGTCCAATTCCCGGTTGTTCAATTTTGGCCCGTACTCATTTTCGTTTGTTTTCCCCCCAAGGGCTGAAACTTATGGGGTCTTTGCTCAGATAGGCTCTGGCGGCAAACCAAAAGAACAACCCAAATCTAATATTGGGGGGGTCACACCCTTGATGTTTTGGAGGGTCGATATGATCGACTAAATGTGAACAGCATCAGGCTTATATGTTCAAACTATTTTGAAATGTGGGTCAAGTCTACTTGGGGGTTTCCTCTAGTGTTTGGCTCTTTCCGATTCTTCCGGAATGCGACGACCTTCAAACGTTTCCGTTTTTGTCCTTCTTTTGGAGGCGTCCCTTTCAAACCGACTAATTGCCAGAAAACGGGAGCCCCACAATGGTATGGATTTTAGCCACAATCGGTCAAAGTATCCAGTAGACTCCGGTCCATCTGCAGATCTGCAGGGAGGGAAAGGGACGCTCTGCATGTCCAAGGCCGACCTTTTTGTGTTTTGGGCACTCGCACCCATGAGACGTCTCGACACCCAAAACGGGGGAAGGGGAAGACCCGGAAAATCTCAGAGCGCCCAATCGAGGGTCTGCGGGTCAAAGTCAGAAACTGGAGTCAAAGTCAGGAACTGGACTCAGGGTTGCACTAGCATGGCATGGACTTTGATGGAATACTGGGGCCAAGCTGCTAGTTGGTTCGTCTTATCCTTACCACTGTGACTCTGGGCCCAGTCTCCCTACCTGTGACTTTGGTCGCATGGACCCCGTCTCTCGACGTCGAGTTTCAGGTGAGTCACAATCAGAACCCAGGTATAATGGGAGGTAGGGTTCATCCCAGCCGTACATTGGTGCAGATATTCGCCTTTTGAGTTCGTTACGTGGTTCGTATAAACAACAGAATGCGCCGGGTTTGATGACTTGGCACAAGAGTTCCTAGCGGCTGTTTAAGCAAACAAAAATCGGGTTTTGACGGCGAGTTTCAGGTGATCCACTTGCTCAAACCTCGGGTAGATGAAGGTTAGGGATACTCCCAATCATAAACAGCTGCAAAATACCCGCCTCAATTCTTGAAGCCTGGAAGTTCTGTAGGCTGGTAAGCCATAAAACGCCCCTTTGTGTGCGGATTGTTTTTGGTCGGCGCTTCTGGGTCTCGCGACCACTTCACTTCACCCGGGTCTCACGTCGAATGCGCTGAGGTGGGGAAGCTCCTGGCGCGGCAGTTGGTGGAGGCGAAGGCGCGGAGCCGGAGCTTCACCGCCTCCCTCGTGGGCTACTCCGCCGGGGGGCCGGGCGCCCCAAGCCGAGTGCTCTCTGGGGAAAGTGGGGGGGGGGGGGGGGGCGGAACGGTCGAGTCAGGTCGAGTCGTTTTTTTTCTCCTTTTTTTGGTAGGAGTTGTTTAGCAAGAACCTTACTATGAAGTATATGATTATTGATGTGTTTCACCTTGTTTAGGTGTTTTAAGAGCTATTCACTTTTGTTTTTCATAGATCAAACTCATTTGGTTTTGAGTTTTCCAAGCCAATGTATTGTTCCAGATGCCCCTATTCAAAAGCAGCCAGTTTAATAGGTCTGCTATGCTATAAGGGCCAACACAATGAGGATGGGGGTTGTCGTGTTAGAGCAAACTCAGATCAAGCAGAGTTGTTCGTCCCCTTGAAAGGGAAGCCCAAAGGTGGTTCAATCAAGAGAGGTTATGCCATAGATAAAGCAGGTGTCGAATCGCCCAACTCCGACATCAACACTCAAAGCTGGCTTTGTAGATTCAAAATTTGCAGTGCAAACCCGGGAAGCCAGAGTCGAAGAGCGCCTCCGCAGGGCGCTTGGGTCTGAGTTCACGTAGGGCACTTTTCAAGGATCCCCAAGCAAGTCCGTTCCCTCCTGGACCATGACCCTTCCAGAGGGCTCCATTCGGCTTGGATCCACCCGGAAAAACGAGCGAGGATCGTGGTCGAAAGCTGCCTCAAGGAGTTGCAGGAGATGGTCAAGGACCGGGACCGATCGAAAGCGTGCTCTTGTTTATTTCGAGCTATTTTGGTTGGATCATTGGATCTTTGGACTTGAACTTTTGGGAAACAGTGGATTCTCCATGAGTCCACAAAAATGAAACTTTCGGATCGGACGTTCGTCAATTTTTGGGCTTGGACCATTTCAGTGGTAAGCTGAAGAAAAGGACGTTGTTGGGCCAGCCCACTGGGAAGTAAGTCGAGGGTACGCCTTTTGGGGTTGGGGTTGGTTGTAAGGGGAGCCACCCCCCCCCCTTCTCAGTTTCCCAGTTTTATTGGGTGGGGAGATAGCGCCCACTTGACTCCTTGCTCCAGTGGAAGCATGTGATTGCTGGTTCCCTGGACCCGACCTGCGACCTTCAAGGGCACTATGGCATAGGGTTACCATTCGAACCAACCAAAAAGGCCAAGGAACCCTTTCTTCTTCTTTTTTTTTTGGGGGGGAAACCAGGGACACAACTTCTGTTATGTTTGATTTTCCTAGGCACCTGTTTGTGAACGATGAAAAAGCGGTCCCCTCAACGATTTCCCAATTGGATTATATAACTGAAATTGGCCACTGCGAGCCAATGGCGCTCGCTGTACTTTGTATTGGCCAGAATCAGGCTGATCTTCCATTTGCTTAAGAATATTCTATACTCCCCTGTTGGCTTCAAAGGGAAACGATCAACACTGAATTATGTTGTTGTTGTTTTTTCTCCAGGGGGCTTAAGCAAATGTTGGAACCGGTGTTTTTTGTTTGTTTGTTTGTTTTTCTTTCAATTTACACCAGCGGTGTTCATTTTGAAATTCCTCATTTGGGATTCTCAATAATTATGTGTTTCTCAAAGCAACAAAAACACCTCGGCCCTGTTTTTTTTGTTTAATCACGCCTGGGGGTCATGTTCTTTTTGGAATCACATTTTTGAAATCACGCCTCCCAAGGCGTGAATTCAACAGAAAAAAGCGCCTCGGCCCAGAGGCATGAATGCAACAAAGCGTGATTTCGAGAAAACAACAACGCGCATCCAAACCCCCCCGGCGTGATTTCAAACAAAAAACCTGCACCCCCCAGGCCCAGCACCCTCCGACTACTGCCCAAACGGCAGTAGATAGAATTTTCCCAAAAACGACCGTAGTTAGAAAAACTACTGTCAAATATTTTATTTGCGGGATGCCCATAGTCTAAGTTCTGCTAGCTACTGTTTACAGCGGGGAGATGCCATAGCGGGGGCGGTGGTAATCAAGGGGTGGCAGCAAGTGCAGCAAGCGCCTCACAGCGTGTCACCCCTGTCACCCCGTGTCACCTGTGTGTCACCTGCGTGTCACCCCGTGTCGCCTCTGTGTCGCCCCTGTGTCACCCCGTGTCGCCCCCGTGTCGCCCCCCCCAGAACGACAGTAGATCGCTGCGAACTACACCACAAGCTGGGCAAGATCAGTTTCAACAACAGGACGCCAAACCCCCGAAGAACTGCTTTTCACCTTGTCCAAAATCCAAATGTCCAACAAGCACTGGAGGTTGTTTGACCAGTTTGGTTTCAACTTGTTTTTCCAGAACTGGTTGTGGGTCAAAACCAGTGGTACCATTTCGGGGTAGGTGAATTCACCATCCATTTTAGAACCTGTCTTAGTGGGGTTGGGGATGTTCACTGGAGCTGACCGATTTGGATTTTGACCCATGGCCAACTGTCCGGCCTCGGCCGCCTCACTCAGCTCACAGGACGGCCAGCGTGCAGCCGCAGACGTGGTCTGCGATGCCGTGATGCTGGGCACTCCGGTGTCTGCGCTGGACGAGGCGGCCTCGGCGGCTGGTGCCCCCCCCAAAAGAACGGTGTCCTTTTGCGGGGTACCCTCGACCAACATAAAAGTGCAAGAAAACCCTTTCCAAGAGGAAGGTAGTCTTTCTACAGGGGTCTGTGCACTTCCATGTCAGCTGGTGGGAGGGTACCCTTTTTTCTGGGTTGGCTTTTTCAGGGAAACCCCTGGATTTTGCTGCTTTTCAACACCAGCGGAGATCAACTGGCTTGGTCTCATTTACTGGGGGGAACAACTCCGTACAATGGCAACAGTTTCCTTTCGGTTTCTGTTTAAAGCGCGTCCATGAACCTTGGTGGCTCCCAGTCATCCCTTTTAGTGTTTAGTGGTAGTTTCCATTTAACCCACTAAAAGTTAGACACTTTATAGAGGGGGCATCTGAGGGCAGCCCATCAACGGGGACCCTCCAAAAACCGAAGCACAACATCCGTCTCCAGGACTGGACCGCGTTGCGGCAGCTGGTGAGTGGCCGCTTCGTGAACGGCTTCTTTGCGCAGGAGCGAAGATGGGCTTGATCCGAAGTTCCGAAGATGGGGTGACGATGAGGAAACATAGGGAAACCACCAGGGAAACCACCATGGATGACTTTTACTATACAGGAAAATGGCGCAAAAGCTCCGAAGATGGGGTGACCATGAGGGAAACATAGGGAAAACCAGCACTTTGGCGCATTTTGCTTGGAGGTTAGGACTTTAACTTGTCGCCAAGGAATGGGTTTTCCATTAAGCCAGTGAAAGTTAAGTTTTTAGCCGGGGAGCTGAAAGCAACCGAGACCAGAGATGACTTGTACTATACGGGAAAAGTTACCCATAGCCAAAGCTGAGGGCCCTAAATGGCAACGGTACATGTTGCTTCCACTGGCTTCAGCCCGCTTTTGTAAAATCATGGAATCCCATTTGGAGGGTGCTGTCGGTACCAGGGTGGAGGATAGTTGTGAGCCCTACGGTTTGTTAGGGTTCCTTAGCATTCCCTAGGGAGCCTTAGGGAACTTTCCGCCCTTGGACCACCCCCCCTTTCAAAATTCCACAACAAAATGATGAACCCATGTTTGGTTGGTGGTTAAAGGGAAACCAAACGGACACCAGCTGTTTTAGCGGACTATTCTGAGAAACACCCAATATAGACCCCAAACGTGTATTGCGGGTTTCCTTTTGGCTTGAACACAAAAGGTCACACACCCATTTGTTTAGTGGCGTTTGTCTCCTTCTTTTTTTCCCCCGGTGCCCCAGCTTGCGCCCTGAAGATCTCTTTTTGTTTGACGGAGATTCAATCCACGAAACATGTTTTTTGTTGGAGCCTAGTTGGTGGTTTTAGAAAGGACAACTAAACGGAACATTATAGTTCTGAGGCGGGTCCCCTAAGAAAAGACACCAACATGGCTCTGTTCCAATCACCTTTCGGACTGAGAGGTTGCAACATTCCCATGATGAAGGTTTCATTTACAGGGACTCATTTTCGGAGAACTATTACAAGTTGCCCAGATGGTTAGCGACAAAGAGGGTGTTATTTCCTGCTCTACCAGGGTAGCTCACCTGGATTGTCGGCAAAAGAAAGCAAGTTTCTCCTGGGGCTTGGCTTTTCGGCAGGCGCCGCAGGCTGTAGGCAGATATTTCTCGGATGGTCTTCAGTTGGTGGCTTTCGGGCTGTCCAGTCAACCACTCCTTGCAGTTTACCACAGCATGTAAATGTAAATGGTATTGTTTGTTAACCAATGCCACGACGCGTCAAGCAGTTCATCTCTCAAAGAGTCTTGCAACAAAGGATGAGAGGTCCGGCTCACCAACCAAGATTTGCACACTATACCGCAAAATGGATGTCTTCCGCGCCTCACAAACCTGGCAGCAGTCCCACATCTTCGGTGAGAGGGTTGTTCCGGGGATGCTGACCGTTAACAAGGGCGCTGCCTTGTACTCACTCCCTGAGTTCCTGGACTTTATACCTTCTGCGAAGTCCATTTTAGTCGAAACAAAGAGTTTGGATTGTTTGGCCCATCCATCAGGAAGTGAGTTGATGTTTGTTTCGCAAGACCCCGTGTTTCTTGTGCCCTTCTTTTCTTCTTTCCCCAAGCTGCGAGGACACGGTGCTCTTGTCGCACCAGTTCCGGCGCGGCGGTGGGGCGCTGGCCGGGTGCAGCCCGCTGCGCGCACCGGACGTGGAGAACCTCCCGCTGGATCCCTTCATCACCACCCACTCCGAGCGCCTGGGCAGATCCATGTGGGCTTCCGATTTTGAGGTTGGTTTCATGGGACGCCGTCCGGAAAAAGCACTTGGGGCGTCCCCCTATGTTGACACATATCCGTTGGGGGGGGGGTCATGTGGGGAGTTTGGGTAAATATTCTCGGTGGGGAGGGACCGGGCCGCAACCCCAGGGTGCAATACAAAGCTTTAGATTCCGGCGATGCTTGAGGTTGGTCCAAGCGGGTGTGGCTTTTCTAGGCACCCCAAAGCGGGCTTGCCGATTAACACCGACCCGAAAAGGGGTACCCTGAAAAACACGCATACAAATGAAAGGCAGAGCCCTTATGTTTTAATGTTTGCCTTGTGTGCTCGTGGAAGCCCGCTGGCTACCACCTGGAATGCTATTTGACAGACAGGGCGAGACTTTGGGGATCCTGCGCGACAGCCATTGGGGTGTAATTGACAAGGAATCCCCTTATGAAGTGATCAAGTAGATTGTTGCTCTGACGGGGATCGCCAGCATTGAGCAGGTTCCGGTGACATGAGTGTGTCCTCTCGGTTGGTGTTTCGGCCAGTGCTGGAACCAGCCCTAGGGTTAACCCCCAGTAAAAGAATGGTTGATCGCAATGATTAGGCAAAGAATGGCCGTTATATCAACCCCCGTTCTGTTGATTGTGGTTTGAAATCCAGGGCCAGGTGTTTTTCACCATGGTAGCTGGGGCTTGAAGGTATCCAGAGCAGATGCCCTTGATCCTGCATCGCATCTTCCGGGGCCTCTGACGGACGTCCAAATTTCGGGAGCAAGGCGTTTTCCGCGAGGCGGGCGGAAACGCGGAAATCGGCGACGGCTCGTATTTGCTACCGGACAAGCCTTCAGTTAAAGGAAAGCCATTGGGTGACCCGTTGAATGTGCTTCTACCAAATTGGGTTCTTTTCGGATGCCAATGTTGACCCCATATTCATCAACCCCAGTTAATTACTTAGTGGTGTTCCCCTCCAAAAGTGGCCTGATTCCCCACATTCCACCCACATTTCACCCAGGGACACCGGGACCCCTATTAATAAAGGTTGATTGATGAATCAATATGGGGTCAACATTACACACATGATTGTCCCTTGGCGCAAGTCGGCACTCATTGTGGCCCGTTTAGGGCCCCCTGAATTGCAAGCTGTAGTGAGTTGTTCATGGGGATAGCATTTGATTGTGAATGGGTAAGAACATAAAACCCGCCAATGCAAATGATGTCTACCAAATAGCTTCCCACAAGAAAACTGGAACCCTGATTTGCCAGTAGTTCAGCAGCGTCAGTCGGTCAACAACATGTTGGCTGTGTGCCAACGTAGGCGTCACAGAATCACAGCAGACCCTCTAGTTTCAGCTGTCCTGGATTGTTGTGGTTTCCTCATGGTTTCCATTTCCACAGGCTATGACTCATTGAAGTCATGGCAATGTGGGACCCTTGTCAGGCTGGTTTTCCCGCAACTGGGGTTCATACCGGGGGTTCGTGGTATTTCAGACCGTGGAAAACGGGGTTGCGCACTGCAGACATAAGATAGGATCGTGCTTTCCGAGAATCCAGAAACTACCGCGGTTTGGGTCAAGCTTATATACATGTTCTCCGAGGAAGCCGAACATGTCGGTTGTGGCGACATGTGTTCACTTGTTTTAGGTGAAGACAACTCACCAAGTCCGCCATGAGACAAATCCCCTTCATTATTTAGGGTCCCATTCAGAGACAAGTCCCATGGGGCAACGACTTTTGCCAGGGCGCCCAAAGAGCTTCCTTGGCCGGCGTTGGGCGATGAGTCGATGAGAGCCGCAGCGGTGAGGTAAGAACGTAGGGCCAGTGGAGTGCCTGACCTGCTTGCAGTTGGTTGTTTTTGTGTTCAATTCTTGGGTATTGTCCATGCGCAGCACACATTCCACTTATGTGTTTTGGAGGCCGGGTCATGGAAGCTGGCTTGTTTCAGACAACTACACCATTCATCGTGGTCATTCTGCAACAAAGCACTTGATGGAATCACATGGCAACAAAGAGCAACAATCCCTGACAGCTGGTGACTTTGCGCCGGCACTAAACGATAAAGATAATGATGACCGTGACTCGTCCCCTTTAAAGGGCTGTCCACTTGCTTCGGATTGAAAATGGCGGATTGGCCGGCCAAAGATGCGGCTTGCGCCTGCGTGGAGAAAACGATCCATCAGCTAGGGGTTGGGAGCAGGGTTGGTTTGCACTGGTTTGAATAGCAAGACATCCCTTGGATGAGAAAGCAGGGTGTCGAAGCAATGTTTTCTTGAGCAGATTTCAGGCAAGGGTGTGGCTCAGGCCGCAGCATGTAGCGTCGCGTGCCCTATTAATATGTGTGTGTGTATATCTGCGTGTGTTTGGGTTTCAGCTTTTGCTGAGGGGTTACCCTTTCAGGGGTTGGTTTAAAGAGAATATTTAGGGGTACATATGTTCTTTCGGCTCTATGCATCCGGGCAATGCTGGTTCGCCAGCAATGAAGCAAGAGCTGACGGTTGTGGCAAAGAGTCAGTATCGTTAGCGCCCGAACAGCACTACATGCAATGCATTTATATATTTGGACACATACACCAAGTGAAAGTAGATGGCGCAATTTCAGTTATTTGGCGAAGTAAGGGGTGAACCAAATACATCGCCTGCCATCTAGTTTCACCAGATGGTACCCTTCCAGTAGCGAATTAACTTGGCACCAGCCTTGGACAAGCAGGCCTAAGGCACTCTGGCTCAAATTTCAGATGAAATGTGCCGGTATCTCAACACCAAAGACTCCGTTGCCTTTTGCTTTGAATTTTGACTTTGCAACAGGTTATATATATATATATACCAAAGAACTCAGGAGTCAACCCCCCGTTTGTTTCAGGCCACCCATCAATAACTAGAAGCTACCAGGGCCCTCTAGGCAAATGGATTAGGGTGTGTCCATTTTGGTTGGTTTCAAAGGGCAGCCAAAGGAAAACCGAAGTCATTTGGGGGGTCCAAGCTGTTAAGAAAGACACCCATTTATGAGTATAGTTTCCACGGATGTTCATCCAAACAAAAGGGGTCAGGACTCCACATTCATGAAGGCTTCACGTGCTTGGTGACAAACCCGAAATTCAGGAGCACTCATTTTTGTTTTAGAGCCGTTGTCCATGGTAGATCCGCCACAAGAAGTGTCAGGACCCCATTTGTTTGAGCCAGAGCATCATGGAAAATGGATATGTGTCAACATAGGGGTGTGTGTACCAAACAAAAAGGCGTGGTTTTCTTTGTGCTTTCCCCTTAAACTCAAAATAGGGAGGCCAACAAATGGTGGTTTTCTTGGCTGGTTTTCCTAGCCAATCCCAAGCGTTCCAATCCCAACAGACATGTCTTCCCGTTCGATTTCGAGGTGATCTGTGAGGGCGAGAAGGGTCAGTTCCGGGCCAACGCGGACCAGATCGGCTGGCGAGGCGCATCAGGCAGGATGCCCATCGCTCGCTTGGCGGCGCTGTTGTTGTTCGGCACCGGTTGGTTTCGCCATGCGTTTTTGTGTGGATTGTTTCCCCTTGTTTGTTGATTTGTTTTTTACTTTCTTGGGCGGTGTGGTTTGTTTGTTGTTTTGTTGGCTGTTTTGTTTGTGGTGTTTCTTATATGTTTTTTCCTGGGGGAGTGGTGGCAGTCGCCCTTTTAAATCAATGCAGCCCATGCGTGTGTTTTTTTTGGGAGGGGTGCTTTGATCAAATCGCATTGTTTGTTTGTTTTGTTTGGGGGGGGAGTGTTGTATTCACATCGACCTATGAGAGACAGGTGTTTTGTACCATGGCTTCTGGCTTCAGGTGACAGTGATTCACGCCTGCAAGTCCATGTTTGGTGGCATCCGAAACTATCACCAAATGGAATCGATTCTGAAAAGGGTTATCGTGTATCAGGGTCACTCAGCAAATGGGAGGTTGATATTGAATATTGAGCGCTCAAAACCTCTGATGACACAATTCGCAAGGGGCGGTACGATTATAGCGAGGGTTACAGCCAGGAACCACCAACAGGTCAATGCATTTCGGTGGCTGCTCAACTTGGGGGGACATGGGGTTTTGAACACTGCCAACTCAAGCCCGAAACCGTGGCCCCCTAAACATACAGTGTCCATCTTGCATAGGACTTGGACCAGGGGAAGGGATCTGTTTAGCACCTGGCAAGGTGATACTTTCGGCTTCGGGGACCACACCCACTGGGAATGCGTGTGGGTATGTGGCTTCTCTCTTTCAAGGCAAAACAAGGTCCCACGTTTTCCCACTCATGGGGTCAGGAAGATGCGGCGGTAGCTCTCCCCATGCTGCGGAAATATAGGCATTGCACAATGAGAAAGCCGGTGTGTAGGGCTTACATCAAAGCGAAGTTGAGTCATGCCTATAGCCGCGGTCTCCCCCAAAACGAGCTTATATGTTAGGGCATGATAGTGACTCTGGACATGTTTGTGGAGTACCCAAGCTGTTTGCCAAGATAGCCCCTTAAAGGATTCTCACCCCCCACGTTCTCCACCGCAAAGTGATGCTTCACTCTGAGCCGTTGAAAAGGGTTTGGCCTCCCTTGACTTCTCTCTCTCTCTCTCTTTGCCAGCCACTTTGCTGTGCCCGTTTGCAGCAGATTGCAATCTACTAGCTGACTGGGGTGTCTGCATTTTCTTCCTGTGTCAAGAAGGCTTATGAAGCAGAATGCGAGCGAATGTGTTTATTTTGGAGGGTCGGGCCCCAACCCCCAAATTAATACATTGGCTCGGATTCTGTTTTGGGCCAAGCGTTTGCCCTCCGAACGTGACCGGCCAGGCGCCACCAGGGTGAACGCAGCCAGCTCCGTGAGAAGGTACTCGTGGCATGGTTTTTGTTTTGTTCCGGAGTGGTTTTTGTCTCATAATGGGTTTGACTCAAAGTAGGGGAGCCAAAATCCAAAAATCGTTGGTTTCCCTTTTTGGTTTTCCTCTTAGACCACCCCAGAAAAGGTGCACTCAACAAAAGACAGACCTTGGTTATGGTTCAGCGAGTTGTTTTGAGGGGATCCTTTTTCGGCTTTCCTTGGTTTCTACGTCCCCCCCCTACAAATCTGGGTGAATTATAACGACCTCACACGACCTCACCCCAAATGGTGGTTTATGTGGGGAATATCCCTCCAACCACCTTATTTCAGGCTGGTGAAATATTATAGTTGACCCAGACATTTGGGTACCTATTTTTGACCCACAGCCATATATTGTTTTACGGACCCCCCAAAAATCATGGGGTTCCTTTTGGTGTTTCCTTCAACCAAAACAGGATTCCATCCGAAAAAGACAGCCCCAAATTGAATGGGACGGTGTGCTCGTGCCGGAGATCTTACATCGCCAGGGCTGAGTGGTTCGAGGGCAGCCTGCGCCTGCTGTGCGAGGAGAGCGGCCAGGCGGAGGCCGGGCGTGTGTTGTTTTTCCTCGGAAGCCGCAACCGGGCTCCTTAAAAGATCTCCATTTTTTGCAACCAGCTGAAAGATGTTGCTTTTTCAACAAGATAAAGGGAAACCACCATTTACAAGTTGCAATGTTCAGGTGTAGAATGTAAGGATCCCTGCGCAAAGGAGGAGGATGTGGTTTGTCAAATTCGACCCAAGAGTGGTTTCCCAAAAAAGGGTTTTTTGAACATGGTTGTTTCTCAAATTGGTATTCGGAACCCCTTTTGGTTGATGCGAGAACGACCAAGCGGATTGTCTAAAAACACCGTTTCGGGGACCACAATTTTGAAGTCGGACAACACTTGGATTGGTGTCTGGCATGATGACTTTCCTCTGATGTCCCAATATGTAGTTTGACTGACACACACACACACCCACACACAACACAACACAACACAACACAACACAACACAACACAACACAACACAACACAACACAACACAACACAACACAACACAACACAACACAACACAACACAACACAACACAACACAACACAACACAACACAACACAACACAACACAACACAACACAACACAACACAACACAACACAACACAACACAACACAACACAACACAACACAACACAACACAACACAACACAACACAACACAACACAACACAACACAACACAACACAACACAACACAACACAACACAACACAACACAACACAACACAACACAACACAACACGCACAACACGCACAACACACAACACGCACAACACGCACAACACGCACAACACACACAACACACACACACACACATCAGGTTGGAAGTTATCGCAGCCTCCCTTCACCAATCTGAGCCGGATCCTCGCATAGGAATGTGTTTTGGTGCCAAAGCCCCATTAGTTCGAGCGCCTCAAACGCAACAGGTCGGATCTTTGATCCTTGTGCGGATGCCAAACATGAAGTCGAGATGAGTTTCGGGCGGCGAGTTCCCTGGCTCCTGTCTCGGCTGCTGTAAGCAGTCGGAAAAGGCAGTGTTTCACGAGACCGTTTTGTTTGCAGTTTGAACATCAAGCCTGTGCGACGTGTGGGTATCTTGGGCCGCAACATGGAGCAAAAGGAGACCACACTGGGGCTGTGAACAGTGTCAAGCGCCTCTTAGTCCTTGGTTTTGAATGGCAAGGCCGGAGCATCCCGAGCCAAGGCCATTTCGCTTCCGTCTTGTTGCATTTCACTTTGGCATATCCCCAAGGGACCAGCCTGGAACCCTGGAACCTACCACTTGGACATGACATTTGTCGCCTTTCGCAATTTCCCCCACTTCCCATTGTGGATGGCTTGAAACTTCTTGGCGGAAGCAGCCTCCTGTTGATGTTGACTATGTTGACTCTTTCTCCCTCTCTTTGCGTCTCTTTGGCTGGCATGCAAGCCGTCCGTCTGGGGCGTTTTCAGGGAGCACATCTCGGCAGTCTTTGGGCCTTAGCTCTTGAGAGGTCTCTTACTGCAAGATGGAAGGCGCTTGGTTGGAGGAATGCCCTTGGCACGCGCGAGTTTCTGTTGCTTTCCATCCGTCATGTTTTCGGGTTTCCGCTATGCGCCCTGTCGGCGACGCGCTGGATGCATCGCAGTCCCCGTTGGGAGGGCCAAGCTTGCGCGATGTTGCCATCAATGGGGCTCGAGTTTTGCTTTTTGCTTTGTTTCTCTTTCTTGCTTTCTTGCTTTCTTGCTTTCTTGCTTTCTTGCTTTCTTGCTTTCTTGCTTTCTTTCGTTCTTTCTTTCTTTCTTTCTTTCTTTCTTTTTTCTTTCTTTTTTCTTTCTCGCTTTCTCTCTGTCTTTCTGCACCTTGCCTTTGTTTCCCCCTCTGCATCTTTATGCTGAGGTTGGCTTTGCAACTAGAAACCAGGCGGCTTGGGGCCACTTGGCCCAAAATTCGGGAGCTAACCGCCGCCCGCGTGTGAACCTTAAGTCCAATGGCCTGGACGATTTCCGCACGCCCACGTACGGGGCAGAAGCGACCAGGCGCAAGAAGCAGGCGGAACTGGAGTCTTCGTGATCCTTTCTAAACGTCATTAAATTGCCCGGCATAGTTATTCATGGAACAAATTTCTAAAATAACAACCTTTAACCGTCTCTTGATAAGATCGAGTTATTACAGGTTCAACCGAGTTATTAAAGGCTCAACATGGGCATTGACCCCTCCAAATTGGTTCAACGTGGGCATTGACCCCTCCATTTTTTGGGGGTAAGTTGACGAGACTCCGTCACTGCATTCGGACGAGAAGGTCTTGGCGTTGGAGGGCTTCAAGGATGCGGACTTCGATGCCTTGTGGAAATACCTCGAGCAGACCTGCGGTGTGTGACCCGCAGCGGCTTGAGTTCAGTCGCGGGTGCTCTGTTCAGTGGCACCGATTCTTTTTCCCTTCTTTTTGGGGGTAAAATTGGTCCCCAAAAAGGGTTCCCTTGTTTTCTCCAGGGTCACTGAACAACTGAGGGTGCGATACTTAGGGAATGAGGCAGGGTGTTGGGAATGAACTTGGGGATTCCCTCAAAGGAAACCATGTGGGATGGTTTGTAGGGGTCACGTAAGGGCACTATGTGACCTGACGCTGTCAAGGAGCTGCTTTTTGCAAGCAATCTTGCTAGGTATTTTGCGCATTCTGCATTTGTGCGCGCTTGTGTTTCAGAGGTGAACACTTTAAACATGGCACGGCAACATTGCCCAGAACCTCCGCTAAGCCAGCAAGTTGTTTGTGTTCATACCAGCCCTGAGGGTGAACCTGCATTCCTGGACTGAATGTGTGGTTTGCTCGTGGCTAGCCCGAGATGCTGGATTGACTGGCCACTAGGGCTTTTGTCAAGAGCTGATTGAACAACATGGGCTTTGAATTGACCAGCACTTTTTCAAGACCATGACCGTTTCTCCCTCAACTGGTCATGCTGCTAAGCCGCTGGCGTCTAACAAGCAGTGGGTGAAAGCAAGCATGTCTGGCAAGGCAAGCGCGTGAGCCAGCGCCCCAGGCTTCGCGGCGTTGGCCCGCGCCTTGTGGTCCTTCGGTTTCCTACAGCTTTCCCTTGAAGGGGCCAGCATTTGAACTCTGGGATCGCGCTTGAGCTCACATGTTCCAAGGTTCACGAAATATTCGACCAGAATGAAACTCGGTTTGGGAAAGGCTCAGGTAGGTTTGAGATGTAATCAAAGTAGAAACCAGTTGGAGGCCCAATTGAACGCAAATCCCCCCACAAGACAACATGTTGTGCCGCCTTGGACGCCGGCAGCTTGTGGGCGGCGAGGTACTTGAAAAAGGTCAAGCCCAAGGCAGCGTTGGAAGAGGCCCGCAGTGCTAAACGTGTGGTGTCGGGTACCCTCGGCTTGTAAACTGAGAGGAACACCACCTGGGGTAGACTTAGGATACATTGTACATGTTACCAGTGACTCCATGTGAAGCAAATAATAAAATATACATTCTATTACTGGGCCTAGCTCTAATCATGCCACCCATTTGCTGGATGGGCTACACGGGAGGCCCCACATTTGTCAGGCTCTCCAAGAAAGCAGACTACGACGTCAAGATATGACGCGTTGCTCCAGGAAATCCCGCCAAATCCCAACGGCTTGAAGTGTATCTCAAGGTTCATCAGGTTTTGCCTTAAGAAGTCACTCCTGCCAAGGGACGATCTGGCAAAGTTGCGATCTTCACAACCACAAAGAAGGGACATGTAGCGGCGTAACCCAGAATTTGTAGCGCTCAATCTTTCTTTTGCCGACAGTAAGAACAACTTCCAGGTTCATCGTGATTCACGCCTTGATTGAGGCATTGGGCCAGTCTAGAGTTCAAAACTGTTCCTTGACGTGGTGCTGTTTTGATTACCGCTGTTGGTTTGAAGTTTTGAAATGGTCCAGCATGTTGGAGTTTCTGCAGCCCTTGATCCATCTGCAGTTGGGTGTAAGTAGAGGGCACAACCTCCCCGTTCAAGTCTAGTTTTATCATCCCCTTTACGAACAGGAAGGGACCAGTGTCATTTCCTTGCGTGGTGCGAGACTTGCCGAGCTCCCTCACCGGGTCTCGAGTCGCTTTTGTTTTGGTCGGCCAGACAAAATCGCAGGCAGACTTCGATGCTGCGATGCGCAGCATTGAGCAGGCAGCGGACCGCGCAGGGGGCCCTGGTCATTTGGCCCGGTGCGAGGGCCCAGACCTCCAATCCGTCAGTGGGTTGCATTTCTTGGCGTTTCTCAGGGGGAAGTTTCCCTTTATCTCATTTAACCACCAAAGAAGGGTGCCCTTTTTGCCCTGTGGTTTTTTGGGGATGGGCTTCTGTAAGATCAGATACCCAAAACAAAGCGGGCACGTTTTTCTCCAAGGCCATTGGAGGTCCCCGGACTCCCCGAGGGATACTGCTGTTTGTTCTTTGTTTTGGGTGGTTTGCGTTTTGTCTGAGAGGCAGATGCCGCCCAACCATCTGGGGTTTGCCATTGAAAGACGACGTGTTTGTTACTGATTGGGAAGCGCAGCACAACCTTGATAAAAAAAATGGTTCGGGGATAGTCGCTGCTAATGCCCAGTCCGGATCTCACTCAGCCATACTCAGCCTGGTGCTCAGTGGGGAATGTGGGAATGAACCCAGGGATTCTCTCAAAGGAGACCACCAGTGGGATGGTTTTGAAGGGTCATTCCCTCATTCCCCGCAACCCAGGGATTCCCTTAAAGAAAGCCAGCAGCTGGATGTCATTCCGACGCATTCCCCGCCTATCACACCAGCTTCGAGCCAGGTGGACGAGACCGCGCCGGGCTCGGTGCAGAAGAAGGCGAAGGAGGCGGACCTCATGAAGAAGGCCACCGGTGGGCTGTGGGTTTTGAGGACATGACTCATCGAACCAGATGGGACTTGACTGGGGGCCGCGGGCTTTTCTTTTCAATTTCCTTTCTTTCTTTCTTTCTTCTCGGGAACGTATCGGGACGTTACATCTAAAAAAATTGATTGAAGCACACAAACTCGCCAAGCTGACGGCTTGAAAGTTTGGATTTTCCAGTTCATGGTCAAGGTTGCGAAGGCTTCAACTTTCTCTCCAGGTGCGGAGTGACCAAAAGAGCTGTCAAGTAGATCTTGCTCTTGGCATGTCGCGCCTTCGTTGTTCACTTCTTTGGCTCGGTTCTTTTGCGAGCTGCAAAGAACAAGTCGAGGTTGCTAGCATATCAAGGGCTGACACGCAGAACTTGCGACGGCACGGCCGAGTCAAAGGCTCAGCCTAAGACTATCTTCTCAGAGGGTGGCGCTTATCCATCGTTTCATGCTCACGACAGAAACACGAACAGGGACTAGAGCCCCCAACGATTGCGCTTCAGCATTTCCAAAGCCAAGTCCTATCCAAAAAGCAGTCGTTGGGACCCGGAGGTGCTGGGAACAATCTAGTTTGCTAAGCAAGCCGTGCTTGCTGCTTGCTGCGTTGGACTGGTTGATTGGCAGGACATGGTTGGACATTACACGTCATCCTGGTTCAACATCGTAGGCAATGCGCAACCTTAACATTGTAACATGTCACTTACCACATCTCACTTCCTGAGTTCCTGGACTCCAAACTTTTGGGGAAGCCCATTTTAGTGGTTAGCAAGGTTTGGACCTGTTTCTGTCCAATCCACTCAGGTTTTTTCAGACATTGCACAAAGGATCGAAGCCGGGCGATGCCTTCTGACCGAGAAACATCCTCAATGCTTTGCTCGGGTTTCTGGATTTGAGCGGGCCTTTCTGGTTGGTTTCTTTGGGGAGTCCCGTTAAGACAGCAACGCGGGGTTCTCATGTTGAAGCAGACCCTATGTCTCTGGAGTAATCATAACAATTTCACCAAGCGGGAATAAACAGAGCTCACCCATGCTTCTTTGCTGGGCGTTGCCTCGTTTCCCGTTCGGGCATTTTAGTGGAGTATCCTTTCTACCAGCCAGCTGGATAGAATGAACTCGCCCCAACCACGTAGGAATCCGATTAGATTCAGAGCCGAATTTCACTACAGCTCAGGGCACAGTTTTGAAAGACCCTGTACAAGCCCAACAGGTACCCTCGCAAAACATTGACTCTCATCAGTCAAGCAAGGCAACAAATCCCAATCGACAGCAGTCGATTCGGATGTAAACGGAACCAACAGAATGAGTTTCCCCTTTTCGCGGCCTGTGGGTGTCTCAATTTAGGGGGCCCCCACAATTCCTGTTTTTTCTTTTGGTTCTTCCTTTCAAAACAACAGAAAGTGTTTTTTTTTTTTTTTTTTTTTTTTTTTCCGGAGAAAGAAAAGGAAAACCTAAAACAAAGGGAAGAAACAAAACGGAAACAACGAGAAACACGGCCAACCCATGAAGGTCTTTTGGGGTGTTTTTCCAGTCGAGAGCTTCACAGGTAGAGAGTGTCCGTGATGGCCTGGACACTGCGGTGAGCGGCGACAAGCAGGCGAGCTCCGGTCACCGGTCCTCCCAACTTGGGTCAGAAGATGTGCAGGGTTACAGGGGGTGGACTTCACTGTTGTTGGCATGTGTTTCGTGTTTTTTTTGCTCTGGGTGTTTGCCTTGTTGGTTCGGTTCATTTTTAGCAGACTGCAAAGTTGAAAGTTTGTTTCTGCCATAGGCTTGGACAGTTGACCCCGGGATTTGTGCATGATTGAACGCGGCCGGCCTTTGGTTTCTAAAACGAACCAAGCAAGGGGGCTCCCTGTCCGGATTGACGTGGAAACCCAAGAACGAAGGCATACAAGTCCTTTGGGAACCCAGCCTCTTCAGAGGGAACCGGCCTTTTGGGCCCCAAGCTTTTACGCGAGTAGTTTTGACTCGTTGTGTAGCGGAAGTGTTTCGGGACCCACTCATCAAGCTCTGCAGATGAATCCTTTGCAGCCAGCAGCTAAAGATGGTACAAAGAAGCAGGTTGCGAAATGTGTGCAGTTCACATAGGATTACTCGGATAGGACACTTAATTAATCTAAGCACATGCAAACGAACTCACCTATCGGGGGTTGGCCAAGATGCCTTTCATTCAAAGGGATTCCGCACCCAGATCTAGCACGACTGGGCCCCAAAAAACTGAAGCCCTCATTTGCTACTATCGCTCCCGCGCATGTAGCTTTTTCGTCTCGGTGCTGGCGGCGTGCAAGATTTGTCATATTCGTCATACTAATGGGAGTTTGTTTTGCAGACCCCCCAAAAAACAAATTGATGGTTTTGCTTTTGGCTTCCCTTTAAAGCCCACCAACAAAGGGTTCTCTCGAACAAGACAGACCCATTTGCTTCTCCGTGCTTTTCTTATTTGCGCGGAAGACTCAGATGTGGACATGTTCAAGGTCTTCACCACCCTTCTGCTAGCGGCTTGCGCGCTTAAGTTGTTCGCGCTGGATTTGTTTTATGACTCATAGAGCTTATGGAGTCTCAACCTAAAGCACCAGACCAGCGCATGTGTTTCCCGACTCGCCAGGTTGCTGCTGTTCCCCATCCGACTGCTTCACCGCCCCACCGCGGCCGACAGACACTTCGACAGCCTATGACACACTCTTTCGATAAACAGCTGCGACACAGCCTGCGGCAGACTGGCACTGACAGCCGTGGCCGTCCAATGGTCCAAAGCTTGAGGCTCCCGTCAGTGGCCGGACCAGGACAGCTGTGACCGTGGGTTACAAACAAGTGGAAGAGTTGTGATAGAACCCGGCACCCCTACCCTGCACCCTGGAGCCAAATAGGCCATGTTGAATAAGCCCAAAGGGATATTGAACAAACAGCAGCTATGCACCTTTTATTGTTGCTCCTGAAAGGCAGCACCAAGTGTTTGCTTTGAAGAGACAAACGCCACCCCCTCCCGCCGCCCTGGCCTTACCCACTCACCCTGCCTCAAATCGGAGGCGCTGAGCCGCGTCTTCGCGGCCAACGGCTGCGAGCGCGTGGGCCGCCTGCGGTTGGTCGTGGACACCGTGCAGCTGGAGGCGTTGAGCGGAGCGCGCCAAGCTGGGCGGCGGTGGACGTGTTGGGACGGGTTAAGCGCCGCCATTTGGCCCCTATATCCCCTGAAGAATGCTGGGTCACTATGTTGGGTTGGGTTCAACATGGGTGTTGTTCCTTGTAAGGACTTCTCCCAATATGGGGCATGGCTTGTGCAGCTGGAGGCGTGAACCACTCGCTTTTCCACCCCCACAACCTGTTACTTCAGCCCGAGCCTTCGTGGCTTTGTGCCGAGAACGAGCTCCTCAAAACGGAGACGCAGGCGGATTACCGGGTGGTGTCTCGCCAAAGTGAAAACGGTAGTCTCTGAAATGGGACGCCTCGTTTCTCATCAACCAGGGGTTGATCAATCAGCGGGGTTGACTTGGTATAAGGGCATCCAGCAACATGTTCAATCTGACCAACCTTTTGACCTTGCCTGAAACAACACGACGTGAAATGACCATTGTTTTCGCATTGTGGGCCATTGTTCCATTTTTCACCCCCGTCAGCAGGGTTTTGGTTTTCTTTGGGTTTTGGTTGTAGCAACCCACACAAGTGTTTTTTGAGGGTGTCCCTTTTTGAATGGTTTTCAAAGGACACCAACAGGAACACCACCATTTTGTTTTTCGGCGGGGGGGGTCCCCACCAAAAAAGACGAGCTTACATTGGCACATCATCAGATTGTTGTTTGCGTGAAGAGCCTATGTTGCCAGGTCTACGACACAGACCCCAGGTGGAAGCACCTACTTAGCAAGTGTAACACCATTGAGGCCGGGATCGCCTCCGTGTCACCAGCTGCAAAATCCGCGGGGTGTGGGGGCCACTCTTGAGGCGGCGCAAACATACATCCCAAACAAGGCCCGCTGACAGTCCCAAGATCGTGACATTTTGCCCCCGGCAAAGGAGCAAACTCATTGTGGGGGAGAGTGTGCCCAACATGAGGAAGACCTTGCAAGAGGGGCCAGTTCCAAGGATGCCCAGCCAAACTGTTTGACCTCTTTTTGATGTGTATGGCCATCAGCAAGATACCAACCATGCATTGTCGGGTTCGGGAAGCACCTTACTCCTTTCAACACCATCCGCAAACCTTCGGTGCGGCTGGGTGAACCATGATCACTCTGTTGCTGGTTGCATGCTTAAGGCTCTTGATTTGTTGCTTCTGTTTATGGCAAGTAGGGGAACCAACAAAACCGTTTTTGTGTGGCTGCAAACAATGGTGGCCGATCAAGTCACCCAGGTCCTACCCTCACGACATTATGAAGCTGTGTGTGTGTGTGTGGGTCTGTGTGATGGATATGGATGTGATTGACTCGCAATCTTGTTGATTGTCTACACTACTTTCGGGAGGTCATGCGAGGTAACCCAACTTGTCGACGAAAACCAGAGAATGTGACAGCCGTGGGTCCTGTCTTTTGCTTAATACAGTGTGAGGGACCCCCTCCAGAGTAACAATCAGATAATCAGTCAGAACGTGGACCCCCCTCGATTGTCGCCCGCCCATTTCATGGTGGGTGGAAATCTCCACCATACGTGTCTTTTTAGGGGTAACCCAAACATGGTTGCCCTTCCCCTTCTTTGATTTGTTTTCACAAACCACACAAAAGGGGGGGGCTACCCTCAAACCAGACACACCCAACTCTGTGCTATTTGCACCCTTTGGGTATGCTACTCCCAGATGATCATGGGTTTTCCCTTCGAACCACACCCATTTTTAGACGAATCTCCCAGGGAAGATGAATCGGTTTCCTTTTGGGTTCCTGTTAGTTTGTCGATGCCTGCTCCAGGCGGTGCTCAAAGAACTGGGCACTTTCCGTGGCTCGGATGAACGGAGGGTGTCAGTGGGGGGGGGGTGGCTGCCCTGTTAGACATTAGATATGGCAATGAAATTCTTCATTTTGTTTAACAATATATTTTGTGTTTTTTCACTCTGCTGGTTTTAAAGGGAATCCCAACAGCATGCGGTGTTCTTTTTAGTGCTCGCACCACCTCGCAGCCCTCGCAGAACCTCGTGGAACCCTTATTTATGGAGCCCTGGTGGAACCCTCGTGGAACCTTACCTCCAGGCCGCCCCGGACCACCCCGAAGCCTAAGTAAGACCCCAAAGCTTCCAGTTGTTGGGGGGAACAAAAACACGGTCTTGCACTTTTGGTGACTGAAACCCTCCTGTCCACAAACATGGAACCTCACAAAAAGGATCCTGGGTTTGGCAAGCTTTTTTGGGAAGGAATGGGGGTTCCATTCCTTGATACATAAGACCCCAGTAGCACAGTGAACTCCACCTCTGACTTCCCCACGAAAAAAAAATGGTCAAGCCTTGAATTGAATAAATACGCCCATTTTTCTAGCCAGGCTCACGCAACCGGGAGGTGAAAGAACAAAAATATCCCGAATGCGGCATGCGTTGCGGCCTGAGAGTCGATGACTGTGGAGTGGCTTTTGTTTGGCTTGGGCTCTCGTATCGAACCCCTCGGAAGGGAATGTGGACCCCGGAAGGGTGTTAATTCCCGTGAATCTGTTGGGGAGTACGTTGGGGGAAAGGGAAGCCAGCATTCCGTTGGTTTAATTTGGGGAGAACTGTGAATGAAATATCCCAGTGCATGCCGGCGAACATGAATGTTCAAGTGGCTAAACAGAAGGTTCGCAGGCAGGCGGAAGGTGGTTTGGACTTCTTGGGGCTGATTCTGAACGAGAGATGCGACGTGTGCTTTTAAACCGACCTGAAAAGTGTTGGACTCTGCTGCAAAACCCTACCCCCAATAGATGTACCTTAAAATCACCAACAAAACTGGTACCCACTACTGATGGTTTGACCTGTTGATTTCTCTTTAAACAAACCGGTCCAGGCTACCCTCATCGACTCGCTCCAGTTCCGTTTCTAAGTTTATCCTTTCCGGGAAGACCATTTCTGTTAAACACAAATCATGTTTACCAGCATCCTCCCAGCAACTGCTTTCTCCCACATCCAAAATCCCAAGTACTGTCCACCAAGCAGTGGTTGGGACCCAGGTGCTGCTCGACTTTTCCCGGCCAATCCACTCAAGAAGCATTGCACGCCCTTGTTCAGTGGACCAACCGAGGCAATTGGAAGCCCAGCGCGGAGTGCCAGCATTCCGAGAGCCTGCTGAGGCATCCGTTGGCCCGAAGGGACGTGGGCTGCGGTTGGTCTAAGTTGCCGGCACCCTCCTAAGGCTTGGACTTGATGCTCACTGTATCGGGTTTGGGCCCATAGTTTGGTCAGCGTTGGGTTTCCTATCAGATCCTATGAGTCAGCTTCAAGATGACCGTCATTTGCTTTGTAGCGGTTCATGCACATGTGTTGTGTTTTCTTCTCGGGGAAAAAAAATTAGAAGCTCTGGTGATATCCCCAACAGCAAGCGGTGCTCTTGTTAGTGCTCGCCGCCTCGCAGATCCTCGTGGAACCCTCGTGGAACCCTGGTGGAACCCTCGTGGAACCTTACCTCAGGGCCGCCCCGGACCCCGCAGCCTATCTGGGCTGAGACCCCAAAGCTTCCAGCTGTTGGGGGAAAAAACAAACAAGCAAAAAGGAAAAACAAAATAGCAAAACGATAACATCCGACAAGATCGATATTTCAAGACCTGAGAATAACACCTGACAAAACGATACGGAACATCCTAACGTTGGCATGAACCCAGGTTTCCCCGCCTCGCGATCGGTTTTCGCCGTGGTTCCTGGACTTGCTCACTCCAAGGAGAATCGACCTTTCGGATCCTTGCAGTGTCCATGTGTGTTGGTTCATTTTGTCAAGGCAACCCCAAAGGTGGAGGGTGTCTCTTCCAATCCGGCGGCGATTGTGCGGCTGCATGATATTCCGGTTGCAACAGAGGTCAAAATCAAGACGATTTGGGTTTCACGAAGGGCATGATGTTGCGCCTGCACCTGTTTGTCGTCCCCACATCTTTATTGGGGTGGTATTTCAGCTTCACTCCGTTTTGTTTTTCCAGAGAAAGGGGCGCGTTGCATGCCCGCCTGGAACAAGCTCTTCAAGGCGTCCCTAGCGTGGTTTCCGGACTTTAAATTTTTGGGGAAACTTAGTATAGAGGAGTGGACCATATCTAGTGGTGGTTTACGAAATTTCGGCCACCAATTCTGCACACACTCCCTGGAATTAAACAGGAAGTCCGTGCTCTCAGAGGTCCCTGTAACATAGAAGTCCCTCAACCGTCTTTTTCTGGGGAAATGCCTGTCGTTTTTTTGCTGGGAATGTAGCACCACCTCCGAACATAGAAGTTACCTAGGGTACCCCTCGCCACGACAATCCCGGGATGTTTTTCACGAACCCTAGATCTTGAGGGAACCTGTTTCGAGCCTGCACTTCCATGTAAAAGAAAAAACGTGAGTGAAAATGCAAGATCTGACCCATCAAAGTGTCGCGTATCCCTGAGAAAAGTCGTGAACCGGCATTTCCCCGGTACACTTAAAATTACGGTGTGTCCGCCCGCTAATGCTAAAAAATGCAGTTTGCTACCAGTCGTTCGTCGTACCTAGATGGGTTCTGGGTCAGTTCTGGAAGGGGTGTGGGGGGGTAGGGTTATTGGGGGGTTTCAGGGAGCCGGTGCCCGAATCATCGTCGGAAGTCCGCTTCGTGTTCTAAAATGCGGAAGTCGACAAAAACTTGCAGAGACTTCTATGTTAGGATTATCCAAAACATGGGTGTTTTTTCACTAACCTGCAAAAAAAGGCTTCGGAGCTTCCTGTTTAATTCCAGGGAGTGTAGGTCCATTTGAGTGGTAGAAAAGACACGTTGGACTCTTCTTGGCCAATTGTGACAGTTTCTGGCTCTGGCGAGTTTGTGGGCTGAAGTTTGCTGTTTAAAAGAGAACGAATGGGATTTCTGTCACAGCCCATCCGAACATTTCAATTGAGACGGGGACCTGGGGTCATAGTTGTCCCTTTGAGAGCCATGTTCGGAACCACATTTTGGGAAGATCTTGCTTGGGAAGACCCCCTGTTTTGAAGGGAAGGAGAACCATGTATCATCTTAGATCCCATTTGTGTCATGGTCAAAGACGTAGGGATTGTCTTGGCCCCCCTTCCACCAGTTGCAGGCGTTCCTATTAGTCGATTAATCGGGTATGGCCCATATGGGTGAAATTCAAGCACAGGTTTTGAGCCGTTGTTTCCCATTTCCCAGTGTTGCATTTGGGGGTTACACCGTATGTTTGACTTCCACACCCAGCGGTTAGGACCCTTTGGCCTTGGACTCGACTTGCCCGCGCCCGGGCTGGACGCGCCAGGCGCGCCATGGTGCGGGAGCTTCGCTACCGGCATGGGGAAGAACCGGAGGCGCAGGTGGAGCCGAACGCAGTGGCCCAAGATGAGGCGAGGGCCGGGCGAAGGGCGAGCCAAGGGGTTGGGTTGATTTGGGTGTGTGGTGTTTTTTGAGGGTTGGTTTGAAGGGTAACCAAAAGGAGAACCACATGGATCAGAACCACCATCTCCCTGGTTTGGACATATTCCCAATTTGGGTGTCGGAAGTAATTACTTGTTGGGAAGTGGTGCCCTTTGCTTGGGTTGGTTTGAAACATTTGGTGACATGGCTATGACCTTGAGTTGGAAGGCCCTGGGAAATTGTTGGTGGACGGTGGACGTAAATTTCCCATGTAAATTGGGTCCACATCCACCAAAGAGCCCTTGCGGTCTCTTAAGTAGAACCCATACCCACATGGTGTCGGGAGGCTTTCTGTATGCTTCTAGCCCTTTTGGCTAGGTTTGTGGTCATTGGCGACAAAGCGGTGAGGGTAGCAGTGACAGGCTGCAAGTTGCCGCATGTTCGGTGAAAAACCTTCGTCCCCGTTTGGGTTTCAGGTGAATCTGCCGGGGAGTACTGATTTATGAAGCACGTCTGGATACACGAGCAAGCTTGTGGTCGTATATGGTTAATAACAGAAGCTCATGCACATCCATTTACCCTGAAGCCTAAAACCAACACGCAACAGCATTGGCATACACATCGAGTTTCTCCAAACGTTCAGGGTACGGCCCGGCAAGGACGCGCAGGGCTGGGGCGAAGCCAGCTATGCGACCTACGCGGAGGAGGAGGTGGATGCCTCGGGCGGGGAAGCGCTGAATGGGATTGTGGGATTGGGGCCAAGCCAAAACTGGTTGCCGTGGGGTTTCCTCCATTTCCTTTCTTGGAAGCTCCAAAAGTGGAAGTTTCAATGGAACCAGCAAATGACAACTTTTGAATGGGAAATCCAGTGAATTCAGAATCGCTCCTCGCTTAAAGATAGAAGCAACCAGCTGGTTGCTGTTGGAAGCTTGCTTGCATTTTTTCGGATCGTCTAGATACGTATTTTGACACACTCCTACACTGTACAGAGTCAGAACCAAGCAGGCCACAGGTTGGTGCCAAGACTTCCCTGCTGGTTAACAACCGACAAACAACACCCATCCGGTTTTTCGGGACCCATTTTTAGGCTCCGTTGGGGAAGGAGGGCCCCCACACCCGCCACGGTGCCCACCCTGCGGTCGGGGGTTTGGTGGTCGGGGATTAGAGAAACATCCCGAGCAAAAGGGAAACCGCCCCTGAATACTGGAATATATAGGTAACATGAAAAGAGGAACAGTTCAACAAGGAAATTCCTACAATGAGTGAAATGGCACGCAGTCTCAAGGTTGAGACGTCGACTCCTTGTGCTCTGAAAGTCGATCGGGATGCTAAATAGTTATGCCCCCCGCACATCCTTGAAGTACAGACAGAATGGATATTTCACACACACACACACATCAGGGAACCAGAGGCAAGTATCTGGGTGCTAAATAGGAGGGTCTGGAAAGTTGAACACTTCTTCTGTTGGTTGCCAAGATCCTAACTGCTGCCTTTAAAGGTTACCATACCAAGGCGATTTTGGACATTGTCAAACGCGGTTGGGGAGCAACTACTGCTTGGCCAGAAAGCGACGTTTGACTGACATCAGGGTAACAACCACTGGTTGGCCAGAAAGCGGACCTTCCTTTGAAATCTTCTCCCCAGCGAAAAAACAAAAGGTCGATGCCCAACTTTGGGCCTCGTTCTGCTCGGAGGTGTATCCTGTACAGCACCCCCAGCCGCTACCTGAGCCCGAGCCAACAGCAGGCGCTGCTCGCGAGACATGTTTCCTTCAAGCCGGGTGTCGGGATGTTGGAGTCATAGGTGTCCGTTTTAGGTTGGTTTGGTTGAGAATAGATGGCCCTGGTTTCAGGTTGGTTCTCGTCATCTACCAGTGCCGTTATTTTTTGGCCAAAAGGACTCATATGGTTGGAGTTCCCTCCTTTTCCTGCAGGCTTGTAAAGACTTGTGCATACCCCGAGATCATCTAGCGGATCAAAAGGGACTCCAAGCCATGTCTTCATGGTAGCGGAGCTCTCGGGCACGATCAGGGGCAAGTCCGCGGCCAAGGACAAGCTCTACAGGAGGAGGATCGGGGTTCCCCGAGAGCGGCCAGCTGGGCCACGGAGGGGAGCGGCCGAGTCGAGGTCGGAGGACGCTCGGCAGCTGCAGAGGTTTGAGGAGCTGCAGCAGCGAGGCGAGCCCGTTTGGCGGTGGAACCACTGGAGGTGGGTCCTAGCCTTGCTGGTGGGCATCTTCACCTACGAGGGGGGCTTCTTTGTGTTGGTCGGCTTGATCCTTGAAGAGGGCGATGGCGACGATACAGGAGCTCACGGCGGTGGTGCAGCAGATGCAGCAGCAGATGGCGCAGTTGGCTCAGGAGAACGCGGGACTCCGTGATCGGGTGCAAGCGGCGGAGCAGCAGACGGCTGGAGCCGGTGGCGGATCAGGGGGCTCGGCGGAGGTGCTGCAAGCATTGAGCCGGTTGCCGGAAGTCCTGGAGAAGATGAGCAAGAGAGGAGGAGGAGGCCTGATAGATCAGAAGGGCCTCGGAAAGCCTCAGGTGCTCGGAGAAGGAGCCGAAGATCGATTCCGGGTCTGGGCCTTGAAGCTGGAGGACTACGTGGCAGGCGTGATCGGCGGCAAATCCCGTGAGGTGCTGGAATGGGCTGCTGAGCAGGAGAACCCCATCGCGCAGATGGACATCGATAACCAGTTCGGGGCCGGAGCAGATCTTCTGGATCAATGGGATGAGGTTGATGAGATGAACCAACAGGTCTACACCATCCTCAGGGCGACCACGGAGGGGGCGGTCTTCGACTTGGTGGAGAACGCGCCGAAGGGTGCTGGATTGGAAGCTTGGAGGGCCCTGCACAGGAAGTTCGACCCGAGCACCGGAGGACGCAAGCGCATAATGCTTCAAGCATTGACGAGCCCAGAAAGATCCTCATACGAGAACCTCGGCAATGCCTTAGAACGTTGGAAGGCATTGAGAAACAGATACGACCGCAAGAAGGATCAGTTCGGGAAGCGTGAGGTGTTGCAAGACAGCCTGGCGATGAACGCTTTGGAGAAATTAGTTCCGAAGGAGATGGAGCAGCACCTCATGCTGAACTACACGAGGTTCCGGACCTTTGAGGAGATGGAGCAGGAGGTGGTGACCTACATGGAGGCGAAGACGGGGAGCAAGCTGACGATCTCGAAGGACTTCAGCAAGTCCTCGGCAGGTGACGTGGCTCCCATGGATGTGGACTCCCTGGTCCGGGCGGTCAATGGCAATTTGGCCTCACTCGTGAAGGGCAAGAAAGGAGGTGGAAAAGGAGGCAAGGCCAAGTTCGAGGGCAACTGCGACAACTGCGGCAAGAAAGGCCATAAGAAGAAGGATTGTTGGTCGAAGCCGCAGCAGGGATCAAAAGGAGGAGGCGCGAAGTCCCGAAGCAACAGCCAGAGCGCCGGCAAGGGCAAGTTTGATGGCATCTGCAACAACTGCGGGAAGAAGGGCCACATGAAGAAGGATTGCTGGGCGAAGGGCGGCGGAGCTTCATCATCGTCGGCGCCTACAAGTCCGAAAGGTGGCAAAGGCGGCAAGCGGGAGGCGGCATCGCTGGAGCAGCCGGGAGATGAGCCGGAAGGAGAAGCGAACGGGCTGGACCTTTGCGCGCTGTCGTCAACGGCGAGGGTGTCTACAACGACCTCGTTTGCGAAAAGGGTGGCTATCAAACGACGGGAGCTTGGTGGCGAGATCAACTTGCTGAAGTGCAACTTCGACACTGGCGCTTCGGTGACAGCTATCCCGAAGAGGTACAAGCGCGAAGGAACTGGAGGTGGAAAAGGAACGTTCAAGACCGCCTCGGGCGAGCTGATCAACAACTACGGCCCGGTGAAGATTGGCGGCTATGACATGAACGGCGTGAAGCGCATGGTGAATGGGAATGCGACGGACGTGCACAAGGTCCTGATCAGCGCGGGCAGGTTGCATGGAAAAGGGCACAGCACTTGGCTGTGGAAAGGCGGAGGAACTATCATGCCGGTGGAGCATCCTGTCTATAAGACGCTGGAAGAGGCTTACGAGAAGGCGCTGGAGCTGTACGGTGACAAGGGCATGATCCCGGTGGTGGAAGAGAACGGCATCTACAACTTCTACCTGGAGATGCCCGACCCAGAGAGCGCGGATGAGCAGGTGGCGGAACTGGAGACACAGGCCTCGGCGAGCGGACTGATGAAGAGCAAGCCCAAAGCCAAGGCAGCGAGAATCGACGAGGAGCGCAACACGGTGTGGGCTCTGGAGGATGAGATCGGAGTTCAGCAAGAAGGTCCTGAGGAGTTGGTGGAGGCCAGACCTGCTCACCCGGGCTGGGTACCGCCGCAGCCAAGCGAGCGTGAGAGAAAGGAGCACGAGGCGAGCGGCCATGCGGTCTACAGGAGCTGGTGCGAGATGTGCGTCAAAGCAGCAGGCCTTGTCCAGAAGCACGTGAAGGTGGACCATGGTGGTGAGAATCCCGACATGTCCACGGTGAGCCTCGACTACTTCTACATGGGCGAGGCCGAAGGTGCGAAGCCGAACATTGTAGCTCGGGACCGGAAGACCGGGCTGATGACGGCAATTTCTATGGAAAGAAAAGGGCTCGTGGATGCGACAGCCCAGAAGATGTTGACCAGGTTCCTGGAAAGCTTGGGCTACAAGGAGGTGGTCCTCAAAAGCGATGGTGAAAGGAGCTTGGTGAAGATGAAGATGGAGGCAGCGAAGAAGGCGAGAGGATTGAAGAAGGCGGTGCCAGAGGAGTCGCCGGCTGGAGATTCACGGTCGAATGGAGAAGCGGAGGCGGCTGTCAAGGAGATCAAATGGAGGTGCAAAGCCAATCTCTTGGCCTTGGACAAGAAGTTGGAAGGTGGAGTTCCTGAAGGGCATCCTATTACCTATTGGGCCCCGAGGTACTCTGCAGAGCAGCACGGCAGGTTCAAGGTCGGAGCAGATGGGAGGACGCCAGAGGAGAGAAGGACAGGCAAAAGATGGGTGAAGGCCATGCCGGAGTTCGGTGAAAAGATCATGGTCAAACCTGCTGGAGGTGGAAAGAGAGGAGATTGGGCAAGAATGGTGAGCGGGAGGTACCTGGGCACCCACAACAGGTTTGGGTCGATCTTGGCCATGACGGATGCCGGAGTGGTGGTTGGCACGGGCTTCCACACGGTGCCTGAGGATCAGAGGTGGTCAAGGCTGGAGCCCGGATTGCGTGGTGTGCCCTGGGACATCAAGAAGTATGTCAACCCGCAGCCGGAAGAGCGGCAGCAGCAACAGCAGAAAGAAGGTGAGGATCAGAGGCTGCCCCCGGTGGTCCTCGTGGCCCCAGCTCCCGGACCTGGAGGAGAGGTCCTGGTTGAGCGCCCAGAGGAGCATCAGGGGGGAGAAGCCCCAGAGGAAGAAGGTCACTCGCGTGGCCGGTGAGGAGAACGATGATGCAGAAGTATGGGAGCACTCCAGGATGCCAAGGGTGTCACACAATCAACACGGGTGGAGCGCTGGTTCAGGCGAGCCACTCAGAGGAGTGCAGAGCGAGGATGAAGAGGAGAATTGCAGAGGATGTAAAGAAGGATGAGGAGAAGATGAAGAAGCAGAAAGATGAGGACGAGAGAGAAAGTGCGAGAAGGGCGAAGAAGAGAGTAGCGGAAGAAGAAGCGAACGATGAGGCAAGGGCTGAGGCTGAGCCGTCAAGTTCAAGCCGGGGCCCCGATGCCGGGGAAGCATCGCCAAAGCGGAAAGGAGGAGAGCAAGGAGCGAGGGACATCGAAGATGTCTTGCGAGATATGGAAGAGGATGCCAGCGGCCAGGCAGGCTCGAGAAGGATGGAGGCAGAGGAGATCCTGGCAGAGGCCGGGAGCAAGGAGGCTGCGAGCATAGTGGCTAGCCTAGGAGCGTTGGATGTGCTGGAGGTGTTTTCACCTCAGCGTGTGACAAAGGAGCTGAAGCGGTTTGGCATGCGTGACGGAGCGGCGGTGGACCTAGAGGAGATGAAGCCAGATGGGTCAGAGAGGTGGAACCTCGACAGGCCAGAAGATCAGAAGGAGGTGCTGGAGATGATTCAGGTGGAGGAGCCGTGGCTCCTGACGAGCTCACCGCCGTGCACTACGTTTAGCCCACTGAGGAACGTGTCCAATGGCAAGAGGGACCCGGGCGTGGTGCAAGAGGAGGAGGAGCTTGGAAAGGCGAGGATGAGAACCGCGATGAAGTGCTGCAAACAGCAGCGGGAGCAGGGTGCCTTTTATCTCCATGAGCACCCGAAACCGTCCACGTCATGGAAGATGCCGGAGGTGGAAGAGGAGGTGAACCGAGTCGACACGTACTTGGTTCAGAGTCCGATGTGCCGTTGGGGCATGAAGATGGAAGACCGAGAAGGGGAAATCCTGCATGTGAGAAAGGAGACTTTGTGGCTGACGAACTCGAGGAGGATCGCAGAAGAGCTGGAGGGCGTGTGTGAGAATGTCCTACAAGGTCGAGAAGTGCATCGGCATGTTCATCTGGTGGGAGGTGGACGAGCTAAGGCTGCGCAGGTCTACCCCAAGGAGCTGGTGGAGGCAATTCTCCGTGGCCTGAGGAAAGAGCTACGAGAGAGGGGAGAGATCAGTGCGGTGGAGGAGCAGTTGTCAGGCCCGACACCGGATGAGTACGTCGAGCAGGAAGAGCTCTACAAGGAGGAGTTCGGCCAGTTTGTGGATGATGTGACCGGTACGGAGTTGCCGGCGCACTTGGTGAAGGCGGCGCGAAAGGAGGAGCTGGGCTGGCTCCACAAGGAGGGCGTCTACGTGAAGGTCCCAAGGAGGATCTGTGAAGGGAAGGGCATGAAGCCCTTGCAGTTGAAGTGGCTGGACATCAACAAGGGAGACGCGACCCAGGTGAAGGTCAGGAGCAGATTGGTGGCGAAAGAAGTGCGAAAGGCAAAAAGGCCTGAAGATCGACTTCGGGCGGAGGAAACGTTCGCGGCGACCCCGCCGCTGGAGGCGGTGAACCTGCTCCTGAGCCTGTTCATGACGGAGAACCCAGAGGAGCCGGATGCAAAGGTGGCTTGCTGGGACATCAGCCGAGCACACTTCATGGGGCGTGCGGAAAGAGAGCTGTACGTGGAGTTGCCGGAGGAGGACCAGTGCGGAGATGATGGTGAAGAAAGTCCGGAGCCTATGGTGGGACTACTTCGCAGGTCCATGTATGGGACGCAAGATGCCAGCAAGGTGTTCCAGGGCGATTACATCGGCTGGTTGAAGGAGCATGGTGCAGAGTTTTGTGCACTATGCCCCGCAATCTTCAAGATAGCGGAGAGAAGGCTGATTGGCCTGGTCCACGGGGACGACTTCATGGTGAAGGGCAACGGGGCCAACTTGCAGTGGTTGGACGGCGTGCTGAACACGCGCTACACGGCAAGGCTGGAGGCCATGCTTGGCCGGGGCGCGGAAGATGACAAGGAGATGTTCTTCCTGAACAGGAAGATCCGCTTCAAGCTGGATGATGCGGCGAGGTGGAAATTGGAGTTGGAGGCGGATGCAAGGCACGCGGAGATAGTGATGCGCTACTTCGGGTTCAATGAGAAGACCAAGGGCGTGGACATCCCGGAGGAGAAGATGCGGGACGCCGAGAGAGTTGCTGAGGAGCGCCTGCCAGAGCTGGATGCCGAGCAGGCGGTGGACTATAGGAGCATGGTGATGCGCCTGGCTTATCTGAGCCAGGACCGCCCTGATTTGGGGCATGCGGTAAAGGTGTTGAGTTCGGCAATGAGATCGCCGAAGCAAGGTGACATGCAGCGGCTGAAGCGCGTGGCGAGGTACTTGGTGAAGGTCCCCTACCTCAAGAAGATCTTCAAGCAGCAGCCCATGAGAGAAATGGAGGTCCGAGCTTGGTCGGACAGTGATTGGGCTGGCGATCCGTTGACACGGAAGTCGGTGACGGGGGCGGTGATCAAGAACGGTGGCCACACCCTCATGGTGCGAGGTGTGACCCAGAAGATCGTGGCGCTGAGCAGCTGCGAGAGCGAGTACTATGGAATGTGTCGGACGGCCACTTTGGCCGAGTTCGTGAGGAACGTGATGGCCTTCTACATGGGTGAGAAGGTGCCGGTGGTGAAGATGCTGGTGGACAGCTCCGCGGCGAAAGCCATGACGGAGCGGAGAGGCGTCGGGAAGACGCGGCATGTGCAGGCCCGGTACTTGTGGCTGCAGGACCGGGTGGCGGAGAAGGCGCTCAGGGTGGAGAAGACGCCTGGAGCGGTGAACGATGCGGACGTGGTGACGAAGGTCCTGTCGGGTGGCGTCATGAGAGGCCATTTGACCCGAATGGGATTCGAGGCCAGTGACAACAAAGGTCACAAGGCCTTGTTCTTTTAGGGGTTAGATGCCCCTCAGGCCAGTTGGGCCTTCGATGCACAGGGGGTGCAGGCTTGTAAAGACTTGTGCATACCCCGAGATCATCTAGCGGATCAAAAGGGACTCCAAGCCATGTCTTCATTTCCCGATCAGACTTTGCACCTTCGCCTATTGAGTGTTTCATCGCTTGCTCAAAAGCTGAACCCAGGTAAGTGGGTGAGCCGAATCGGCCGAAGGCTGTTCGAAATATCCGAGGCCCGTAGTGGCCGTCGCTCTTCCGGGGTTAGAACCAACAGTCTGCCTTCACTTCGCTAGACCGGAACCCGGCAGAATGTGTGCGGTGGGGATGCTTCTCATCAGGATTTTCTGGAAGGATCACATTTCACGGCCATGAAGGACGGCCGTTCCCTTGCATGGGAAATACCGAATCCCCCATGTAGCTTCAGGCGGAATGCTTTAGTAGGCGGCAGAATGCCCACTTCCTGAAATCGGGACTTGGTCGGAACATGGTGAAAAGCTCGAAGGCTTGGACCATCTTTGTAGATGTCATCTGTGTGAGTTGCAATGTGTGGCCGAAACGGTTAGACGGTCAAACTGCTGGCCTCGCAGTTTTGGATGCCATTTATCCAGCTACCATCGACTCATTGATTGCCATGTCGAACATATTCGGCATGTTCGCAAGCACAACAAGCTTGCAGTTGAAGGAACACAAGCAATTAACCCACCTGTCCGAAGTCCGACCAAGTGTTTGAGAGCAAACTAAATTCGGTGCCGCTGAGCAAATTTAAGAAACTGCCGTATGTTCCATCCGAACTGCACGCAAATCGGTCACATCATTTTGGGTTTGTCCAGAATAGGGGAACCCCATTTTTGGATAGTTGTTTTCCTTAAAACACCTTCAAACTGGGTACCTCAAAGAACGGTGCACCCATATATGTCGCCGGCGCAGGCTACGGCTACTCCGAGCCGGCAGCAGCCCCAGCCCCAGCCGCACCTCAGGTGAAGGTTCCAGTCATAGACGAAGGCGCGGCCGCTTCGCGCAATCCGGAATCGCGCGCGGGATCCTTTGCATCTCCATACCATCCTCTCTGCTGTGGAGCTTGAAACTTGTGGACCATTTTGGCAAACACCCACCGTAAACCCACCCTAAAGCTACCCTAAACCACCCTAACCCCTAAATCAACCCAAAAACCCACCCTAAGCCTACCTTGAACCTACTACCTTGAACCTACCCCAAACCCACCAGTTTGGACTTGCTTTGGTCAATGAGTGAGATCTGCAGCTTAGCCAAGCCAGAGGGATCCCCCTGGAAATGCCACCAAGTTTGGCCCTAGTTTTCGGCATTTACCTCAATTCGTCATTGTCGCAGGTCCCTTGTGGAGGATGCCTGCAAGAGTCACATAAAAGAAAACAACTACACGAGCGTTATTTTTTTGGGAGCTTTCGGCTGTCCTTCTATGCGCGCCTTCTGTCAGGTTCCACGTTCGGGCAATGTGCTTGTCCACCTTGCAAACGGGAGACTTCGATCATCCGCCCTTTGGGACCAAGAAACCCAAACCGCGGGAAGTCACGTTGTTGTTGACAACAAGGATCGGTTCAAGTAGGGGATATGAGTCACTGACAGTCTACTGTTGGTCCGGGGGAGGACATGGGGAACTCAAGATTCACACAAATGTGTTAAATTTGTTATTTCCCATTGGGAAGCAAATGATAAAATTCCGTTGGTAGAAAATTATGCGCCTTGACAGGTCAGCGCAAGCGCTACGAAGATGAGGAGGCGCAGCCGTCTGTGTCGCAGTACCTTTGGAATATGTTTGAAATGATCTTGACTGCTTCTTCTTTGGTGCATTTTGCTTGGATGTTAGGACTTTAACTTTTTGCCAACTAATGGGTTTTCCATTAAACCACTAAACATTAAGCTTTTAGCAGGGCTTCGCAGAAAGCAACCGATTCTTGGTGTGACCTTAGCCGAGTCTTGGGAATCCACACCTTTAGAAGGTTAGACCTTTTGCTCAAGAAGAGCCAACCAGTTCTGTGTTACTTTAAGGTTCACAAGGCTGTGGCTCAAAAAACCGGTACCAAAATAGAACCCTGGTAAGTGGAAACATGGACCAAAACCTGCGTAACCCCTCCTGGTTAATTTTGAGCCACACCCACAAAATACGGGCCAGCAACAATACCCTTGGTTGATGGCACAAGTGAGGCAGGTATTTGATGGGCAAGGAGACAATACCTTGCGGAGTGCGGAGCTAACCGCTTGCCCCCTTTTGGGAGACAAACCCATGTCCCTAGAGTGTTTTGTTGTCTTTTGCCCTTTTGGCCGAGTTTCAAGTTGCTCTGGTACCGGACAACTCGGGGCCCAACGCTGGCCATTGCCCCCAGCAGATGTCCATTTCGGCCAAGTTCTGGAAGTAACACAAGGGGTTAAAAGATACGAGTATACTTGAAGCATGACTGTTGATTTGCTCACTTCCTGAGTTCCTGGACTTTAGTCACTTTTGGGTTAGTGGTAAACAACGAGTTCCTGGACGTTTGTTTGCCCAAGCCACTTCGTAACAGTACCCCGCCCGGGCTGTAAACCCGAAGAAGTTCATAGAGGTGCTCGCCTGCCCTTGGGACAGGAGTGCTCTCCGCGGGATCCCAATTGCACCCAAAGGGAAACCGTTCGAGGCCCAAAATGGACGGCCTTGGTGGCTCATGGGATTTGGGGTCTTTGCGCCCCACATCCACAACACCTTTTTTGCCGCCTACCCAACTTTTTCGGGGGGATTTGGGCGGGGTTGGGACGGGGGGCTATTTGGAGGCGGTTCAGATCGGTTGTGATCCCTTTGTGGAGTGAAGATGATCGCAGTTCGGCAGATTGCAAGAATTACATGGGGCCAAGCAAAACACGCAAACTCACACACACACACACAGCACACACACACACACTGAAATCCCCACACACACAAATCCACACAAATCCCCACACACACAAATCCACACACGCACGTAGACACACACACACACACATTATTGTGCTATGATCATCAAGTACTTTGGAATTTCATAGCACCCCACCTTGTTCTAATTGTATGTCCTCGGTTTCCAACGGGGCCAATGGAATGAGGCATCAGCCCTGTGCCATAGTCTTCTAAGTATTTTGGCCCAGGGGTTCCATGTTTGCAGCCAGGTATTGGGTTTAGCCATTGCTCATGCATCTTTCCTTTTATTCAGCTCGCTGTATATTGCCAACTCTTGCCGGGTGTCCGGCTTCCAGAAAATGGCTCAGCACCCACGGGATGTTGGTCGTTTTTCATGGAAAAGGATGGGTGAAATAAGGAGACACAATGCTTAGAATCCTGAAGCGAGCAGCGATCAGTTAGTACATGAAGCCCCAATTCTGGATGGCCCTGAAATCTAGCCGGATGTGCAAACTGTACGTCTTGGTTGGGTATGCTAACTGATTTATTACTAATTCTTACTCACTATAATTCTATCATTGCCAGATTTAAGTTTCCTTGTTTTACTTGTTGCCTTTGCGGCATTCCATTGGTATACCTTCAACCAGGAACAGTGTTTTCCACTTTTGCAGGGTCTACGTCTATACCCCAAAACTTGTTAGCATGGGATTAGCATGGTTCACCCAGGTAGAGTGAGGGTTTGTGCCTTTCCATCTTGCAGGTCAGCGACCCCAACAGAATCTCGGCTAAGTTGCGCATCTCGGCGAGCCCGGGGGTTCGCTTGCCAGGGTAAGGGACGTGCCTTTCAACAATGGCTACCACGACACAGCCGACTGCTTTTTGGGGCCGTCTGCTCCAAATAGAATTTCAGTTTTAGGGTAATTTGAAATCGAAGCAAACATTGTTTTTTTTACGTGTACCCCAGATGTCGGGCGAGATAAACTTACTGACGACCTATGTGTGTCAAAATAAGAAGTGATGGTGGTCCTTTTGGTTCCACCTCACACCAATGAAAAATGGGTACCCTCAAAAAATACACCCCTTTTCATGTGCATTTTCAGCTTGGGAATCATCTCGCCAAGTCTACCCGGAAACTTCCGACCATGGGGTTCAAACTGCGGTGATTGACGCTGCCCCTTAGGCTTTGCTGTTGGGCTGCTTGACGCCCATAGCCCGAATTGTTTTTGTTCACTGGCTCGAGTTTTCTGAGAATCACCCCTACCAATACAAAACACCAAAGGAGAACCAAACCCTGTAGCCAGCCACGTTTCCTTAGGTTCTTCAAGCAGTGGTTCTCCTGGCAACCCAGTGATTTCATGTCGCTGTATAGTAGGTAACCAAGGGAACCACCCCACTGCAAAAGGAAAATGGCGAAGGGGTTCCTACCCTCCTGTCCACCAACGTGGAACCCACAGAAGAATCCCTTTTAAACGAGACTGTGTCAGGCAGGACCCCGAAACATGGACAGGAGGGTACATTTTTTGTCATATGGGTGTGTCGTTTCAAGGTTGGACCCCCCACAATGGCGTCGGCTTGCCTTTTGGTGTCCCTGGTTAAGGTATAAGGTTGACCCCATATTAATCAACCGCCAGTTTATGAATAGGGGTTGTTAGTGAGTTGAGTACGGAATCAGACCACTTTTGGAGGGGCCAAAACCACCCCCCTATTAACAATCCCTGGTAGTGGGGAATCAACACTTTTGGTTAAAACCAAAAACACCCCCTAGTAATAAGCTGGTTGGATGAAAACCTGGACTGAGGCACCTAGGAATAAGCCGGTTGGTTGATGAAAACCTGGGGCCGGCCTTACCGGGTACAAAGAGGTTCACCTGAGGCGTGCGCGCCGGCGCCCCGGACGACGAGGTGGACGAGGCCACCAGGCGCTGCCGCTGCCACTGCGGCCACGGCTGCGGTTCCGTTGCCCGGTGGCTCATCGTTCTCGTTGAAGGGACAACCCCCTTTTTGGTGGTTTTCTCTCTTTCCCCCCTTTGGTGCATTTTGCCTCTTTTGTGGTTTTAAAGGGAGACCAAGAAATAACAGGCCACTATTTTGGTGGGTCCCCGAAAAAAGACACACCCACATATTCTAGATGCTTGGGTTCAGGGGAGCCATACTTCACCTGAAATGGTGATTTTAAACCTCAGATTTTGTGCAAGGGGAGGTATACCAGCACGCCCCAACAACGGTTTTTCCCCCTATCCTATATCCCAAGTACCGTCCAAAAAGCCGTGGTTTGGTGCAGGACACCCGAAGGAAACCGAAGCCCCTGTCGGGGCGTCCATTTGAAGGGGGTTCCTGAAAAGAGGTTTCGTGCCCTGCTTGGGTTGCACCCGCCCCCCTGCAGATTTGCCCCCCTCCGCCTCCAATTGATCGGATCGTTCGACCTTCCATCATCCTTCGACTATGTTGTTTTTTTCCGCCCTGTTGGTTTTGAAGGAAATCTATCACTGCTGGAAATATTCATGGTTGTGCAGTTGTCCAGGGGACTGTAGCAAACGGAAGGGATTGTTGTGTTGTCATGTTTTTGTTGCGGGGTTACACTCCCAGTTGCCCAGCGAATTTGGAGGTGTTTCCTTGCGGGGAAGGGTTGCCCTTCAAGGGCAACCAACCAAAGAAAGGTGCCCTTGGTTGCTCGTGGCCACTGAGTTCTAAGTGTTTGATCTTTGCTTCAAACAACGTGTCAAGAGGAAACATGGCTCGGAGCATTCAAGAGGCACATGTGGGGAAAGAGTGATCTTCCCGTGGTTTCCCTTGCAACACTGGGGTCTTCCCTAAATCTCAGACCCCCACAAGCAACCCTCAAACACAAAGCCATCTCCACGCCGAATCGATCCGCAGGCGAATGCGCTATACCTATCCCAATAGCATCCTTGAGGGGTGGGCCAGCGTGGCATGCTTCAGAACCGGGCAGCCAAGTGTTGATTAGACTCCCAGAGGCTCCAGATATGCCTTCGTTTTTTTTTGGGGGGTGTTCCCTTTAATCCAAGTCAGCTACAAGTCAAAGGTGCCTTTGTTTCACCATTGCCACCGGCCTGGGTAAAGAGCAGCGCCCTTGTCATAGGTTCGGATATGTTCACTTTTGATTCTGTACATGAGCCAATATCAAAACCCGGGTAATTGGATGGTGGTAAGGACCATAAATGGGTGTGGCCGCCTTGTTAACATGGTTCTGGGTAGACCATGCTAATACCAGGTTGTGATTGTGGCTTACATGGTGTTGGGTAGATTCCGTAAATTCCAAGGTTTTGATGACGACTCCCCTAGAAATGCACGGAAGGAAACAACAATGTATGCTCATTCAAAACGGCACTGGGCAAAGTTCTGCGGACTGGAAAGCCGTTTTGCCGTTGTCATCTCTAAGCTTGGGTTATGTTCGGTTCAAGCTCCGTGTTTTGTGCTTTCCTAAATGGCATGTAAAAACGTGCGTTGAGAGCTCGTCACTGTGAGAGTGCGTTGTGTTTCACATGTTGAAGGGATATTGGAGTTGAACTCTGCTTGACAATGTCCAAATGTTAAGTTGTTTGATGTAAACAAACATGACAGATATAAATTATAATATCAAAGACACATTAGGATTCAGTTCTAGGTTAACTATTTTTGAATTGTACACTTCTATTGGGAAAGGGCGTCCATCTAAATTCTAGATGAACGCCATAATTTCCAGTGGTTCGGAACAAGTATTTCCTTATCGAGTCCCAGTTATGTCCTATTCAATGTCTTTTTGACATCTAGAACCTAGAGAGAGCAGCTGTTGGTGGAGATGTGAATGTAGTACGAAGAATGCTACAAAGCACCGTGTTTTACGGTGTGTTCTGACCAAGTGCTGGGGGGGCTAGTAGTCTCAATGACTTCCGTATGAAACTCGACTTAATATTAATATATATATATATATCGACGACTTAATATATATGTATATATATGTATTTGTCAAATTCTACTCAACCTCTACTGACATTACGTTGAGTTTAATAAGCACATGACATAATCCACTCAGAGCTTCTATTGCAAATTGTGCTCTGAATGAGAATGATTCTATTTCAATTGAACATTTACAAGGGAGTTCCTGTCCGATAAAAATGTTTTTACAAAGCAATTCACATGAAAACACACATCATTCAACGATGTTGGGATCCTCTGAATTATGTCCTTATAAATTAGATTTTGTCTACTTATCATATTTTACGCAATGACGATAATTTGATAGGACACAATGCAAACACAATGCTATTTTAAATTCGAATGCTCAATCAGTCAACACTCAATACTGTGCCAAGGCTTGGATGTCGACTACACAAGTGCACCTGAATACAGAAGCTCTTGCGAGGCCTGAACTGGTAAACAAAGTTATGCAAACAAACACAACCTCGAGAAAACCAAAAACAAAGAAATGTAAACTACAGACTGCCCCAGATCCTGGAACCACTCCCCAATGGAGCTTTACGCGTTTGATTTTGTTGGGTTTGCCCGCATTGGGAAGTGCCATCTGGGAGATGGGGTCTGGGGAAAAGTATGAAGCAGCTCGGCTGCATTTGTGATTTTATTTGTGAGTTTGTTGATTGTATCGATGTTCCTTTGCATGATGCACCTCGTTTGACAGTTGCAGAGGCAGAGGCAAAATGCAGATGCACCTTCTTGCGAACATGTTCAGTTTTGCTTTTGCGGGGGGGGGGGGGAATGCGACTCAAACCTTGTTTGTTTGCAAGTGGTTGTTTTGCTTGCGGGTTTCGCACGGTATCCAAATAATGAGCGTAGTTCTGAGATCGAATGACCCTTTGCCCATCTTGGAGACTTTATTTGCTGACGGAAACCCACTTTATTTTGGGGCACAACAATCGGTTTGCCTGTTCAGTTGGGATAGTGACCCCTCGTTCGAGTCCGATAAGAACCGTTGACCGTCTTTTTTCTTTTTTT